CATCACTCTGTCTCCTCTCCACCAATCAGCTAATGTGTTGTGCGGTCTGGCACAATGTGGCCGTTGTCGCATTATCTAGGTGGATGCTGCAAACTTGTGGTGGAGTAGAAGATTCCCCCAAATGTGTAAAGTGCTTTGAGTGTCCAGGAAAAGCGCTATATAAAGGTAAGGAATTACTATTAAGTGTCATCAACTTTTGACTGATTTAAATGAATCACTCTTTCCAAAGCTGGGATTAACAGCAAACATTTTTTCAGCACACTTTTCTCATTTAGTAACATTTAGTTAATGTGTGAACTAGTATTTATAAAAAAACATCGCATTTGTACAGCATTAGTTATCTTTCATAAATGTTAATTAAATGGTCAGTAATGTCAACAGATACATCTTGGAATTTTAATAATGTATTAGTGAATGTTGATCTTTGAATTGTTTATTATTTATACATCTTTTTTGAAATATTGTTTATTGATAGTTCATGACGACAAAGTTAGCATAATTTTTGTATAAAAATAAATAAATTATATATATATATATATATATATATATATATATATATATATATATATATATATATATATATATATATATATATATATGAGCAATATCACACGAGTAGCAGTGCGATATGGCTGTATATCGGTACTGGTGAGAGGCATGCGTTGGCGGCCTCGTGCCTAAGTGCCCCCAAGAAGGTCGCTGGATCGAGCCTCGGCTGAGTTAGTTGCCGTTTCTGTGTGGAGTTTGCATGTTCTCCCTGCGTTCGCGTGGGTTTCCTGCGGGTGCTCCGGTTTCCCCCACAGTCCAAAAACATGCGATACAGGTGAATTGGATAAGCTAAATTGTCTGTAGTGTATGAGTGTGTATGGGTGTGTCCCAGTGATGGGTTGGAACTTGAAGGGCATTCACTGCAAAAAACATGCTGGATAAGTTGACAGGTTATTCCGCTGTAGCGGCCCCAAATTAATAAAAGGACTTAGTTGAAAAGAAAATTAATGAATGAAGATATATATATATATATATATATATATATATATATATATATATATATATATATATATATATATATATATATATATATATATATATATATATATATATATATATTCATTCATTCATTTTCAGCTTAGTCCCAATATACATACACTTTGTTTGCCATAAAGACTGAAATCAGATCACATTCAGATTAACTGTGCCTTTCTACAATTTTATCCCTAAGGTGTGTTTTGCAATAGACATGCACAAATAAGTCAACTTAAGTAATATAATAAATAGTTGTTAAAGACACCTAATAAAAAGGAAGTCAAAACTCATTTATCTACTCTATAACTTTTGTAACTGCTTTCATTTTTGAAATTTCAGCAACACACTTTCCGTTGATGAGTTATAATTCCGTTTGTGAAGCCATTGACAGCAGTGGAGACAAAATGTCTGTGAGAAACTTGACTCACTTCACTCCTTCAATGACGAACGTGACTAAAAGCGAATGAATCATTATAATCGTAAAGTAGCTGCTTTTGAAGATCAAGAGGTCCAGCCCATGGATGAATGAAGATGCAGGATGAATGGATGCTGAGTGTGGTCTAATAGGTGTGCGTGCAATCGAGACGCAGACAGAAATTAAGCCCTTAATGATACCGTGTGGAAACTGACCTGGTGAACAAGTTTAAAGCTTGTCTTTTCTGCTCTGCTGTCTGTGGGTCAGACTCATTTTAATAGTGCAGACTCTGAAATTAATATCTTTTGTAAAATCATTAGGAAAGATCTGAAATCAGATAAGAGTTGCATTTTTATGTATTTTTAACATTCTAATAGACTTAGTTAACTTTATTTGTGCCCGTAGGGAAATTTAATTTGCAGTAACAGAGACATCTGACATTTTACATTTGACATTTATATAAATAAATCATTTAAAAACCTAAAGTACCATGGTACCCCTACTCTAAATACATATATCCAGTCTACTGGCCATCAACTGAGAGAGGATACATTTAAAAACTTAATTGCTTGAGGTATAAATTATAATTTAGTCAGGGAACACAATATATCAATGACCTGATGGTAACAATTTGAATGTGTATGATAAAAGATGCTTCTCATCATTGACAATCTTGATAACTTTATTTATCACTCTTTCTTTGTATAGGGTGCATCTGGAAAGTATTCACAGCGCCTCACTTTTTCGCCAACTTTAATGTTACAGCAGTATAATGACAATGTAAAAAAGATTTTTTTTGAAATTGTTGCAAATTTATTACAAATAAAAAAAAATCACATGTACAAATATTCACAGCCTTTGGTGTGAAGCTTTAAATTGAGCTCAGGTACATTCTGTTTCCACTGATTATTCTTGAGATGTTTCAGCAGCTTAATTGGAGTTCACTTGTGGTAAATTCAGTTGATTGGACATGATCTGAAATGGCATACACCTGTCTATATAAGGTCCCAGGGTTGACAGTGCATGTCAAAGCGCAAACCAAGCATGACGACAAAGGAATTTTCTGTAGACCTCAGAGACAGGATTGTCTTGAAGCACAAGGCGTGGGAAGGTTATAGAAAAAATTCTGTTGATCTAAAATGAGCATAGGTGGAAGATGTTTGGAACCACCAGGACTTTTCCTAGAGCTGGCCGGCCATCTATGCAGAGTGATAGGGGGAGAAAGGCCTTAGTCAGGGAGGTGATCAATAACCCGATGGTCACTCTTCTGAGCTCTAGCGTTCTTTTGTGGAGAGAGGAGAACCTTACAGAAAGACCATCTGTGCAGCAATCCACCAATCAGACCTGTATGGTAGTGGCAGATGAAAGCCACTCCCTGCATGGAATTTGCCAAAAGGCATCTGAAGGACTCTCAGACAATAAGAAACCAAATTCTCTGGTCTGATGAGACTAAAATTAAACTCTTTGGAGTGAATGCCAGGCATTACATTTGGAGAAAACCAGACACCGCTCATCGCCAGGCTAATACCATCCCTACAGTGAAGCATGGTGGTGGCAGAGTCATGCTGTGGGGATGTTTTTTAGCAGCAGGAACTGCAAGACTAGTCAGGATAGAGGGAAAGATGAATGCAGCAATGTACAGACACATCCTGAATGAAAACCTGCTTCAAAGTGCTCTTGACTTTAGACTGGGGCGACGGTTCATCTTTCAGCAAGACAATGAACTAAAGCACACTGACAAAATATCAACAGAGTGGCTTCACAACAACTCGGTGAATGTCCTCGGTGTGGCCCAGCCAGAGCTCAGACTTAAATCCTGTTGAACATCTTTGGAAAGATCTGAAAATGGCTGTACAAGTTCACTTCCCATCCAACCTGATATAGATTGAGAGGTACTGCAAAGAGAAATGGGCAAAAATTCCCAAAGACAGGTGTGCCAAGCTAGTGACATCATATTCAAAAAGACTTGATGCTGTAATAGCTGCCAAATGTGTATCAACAAAGTACTGAGCAAAGGCTGTGAATACTTATGTGGTGTTCAGGTTTTTTATTTTCAATAAATTTGCAACAATTTCTAAATTTTTTTTTACATTTTCATTATGGGTGTGTGTATTGTGTGTAGAATGTTGAGAAAATAAATTAATTTAATCCATTTTGGAATAAGGCTGTCACATTAAAAATGTGGAAAAAGTGAAGCGCTATGAATATTTTCCGGATGCACTGTATACTAACAATGCTCTTCAGTTTTATTCCCAACAACCAACAGGCTTTTTACCATCATCCCCAGTGACCTCTTCAGGGCCTCAGAAGCATTTCCATACCAACAGATCACACAAATGTTGCAATACTTTCAATAAAAACACTATAAAACATGATCAACAGTGTGTTGTCAACATTAAAAGACAATAGTTTCTTTAAGAAGTTCATTCTCTATTGAAGCTTTTTTTTCAGGCCATACTCCACTTAAATTTATTGTTCAACATCACACCCAATATAAGTTGATTAAGAAATAAATGACAAATCTACAGGCCTAAAAATGATCTTGTCACTAAAATTCATCATTTAATTTTAGTATCCACATAGCAAAGTTTCTTTGACCTACACAATCAGTTTTTGCTTGGCCCACATGCTGCAGTGAATTGTTACATAACTGAACTAAGTCTGGCTTCCCGACAAGGACCAATTAGGGCAAAGTCTCAGCCAAGTTAATAGCCCACATCTGGGCCTGAACTGGGCCAGATATGTTGGTGTGTCATGACTGCAATGACATTGATAAACCTACGAAACATTGTGCTTTGGGCACATTATGGATGTGTTTTTTTTTCCAAAGCTCCCTGATTGGTTAATTTAAATGTATTTTAAATGTGGGTCAAGAAAGGACAAACTTATGTGGCCCACATATTCATTTTTAACATCTGGACCAAGTGCTACATTTGACATCTAGCCCATGTCTTGTGTGCCGCCCTAAAGACGGTGCCACCTCTGCCAAACCCAGGCCATGTTTGCTGTATGCCAGTGTCGGATGAATGCCTACGTTGCCAGCTTCATGCCAAATCTGGGCCAGAATTCTTTGCTTCCTGGGTAGTAGTTTGATTTCCTACTGCATAAGACTAGTCTTTTAACTTTTTTCAAAATATCTTCTTTTGTGTTCTACAGAAAAACGAAACCAATAAAGGTTTGGAACCACTTGTATGAGAAAGAAACAGTAAGTCATTTTTATTTTTATTTTTAGGTGAACTATCCCTTTAAATGCTGATTTTTATTTTTAAATTATTATTTTTTTGTTTAAAACACAAGGGCTTTTATATAGGCAATTATGAGTGGAATTATGAACACATTAGTTTACAAAAATTAGCTTTATTTACGAGAGTGAATCTATAAAACAACAAAATCGCCTCATATTTATGACTTTTTTTGGAGATCCCCCCTCCTAATCTTTAATATATTTTATGCTTGAAAGCCAGGACATACAAAATACCAAGCAGCATTAAATAAATCTTAATAAGTGTTGTTTTAAGTAAAGTAGCTTCCCTTTTAAGGAAATATTTCGCTTATGTCCACAAGTGGGAGCCATAATCAAGTGTCTTTGGCTACGCGCTTTACGTCACACAGTAAAGATGGCGACGCACTAAAGGGCTCCATGCTTTATTGTTGATAAAACCATACATTGTTATTTTACAGGAGAAACTCTCACTTGGCTCAGAAAAATGTCAAGGTTAATAGTCAAAAATCTCCCGAATGGGGTAAGTATTCATAATAATATTAGTATATGATAGAACTCTGCTGTCAAGTATGCATGCTTTACGTTATACGAAGAAGTGTTCATCTAACGTTACAGACACGTTTATTTGTTGTATTTACTCACAAAAAGTAACACAAAACGACTGTGGTTTAGTTTGACGTGCTGTTGAGCTACAGTGGCTACTAAAAGCAGAATAATATCTAACAGTTACATTACCTATTGACATAAAGGGAAAAGTTGGTTTTATATTTAGATATCCCGACATTCTCCTTAATAATATAATTTTATTAAAGTATTCTTTGCTAATTGTAAATAGGGAAATCAAATTAGCAGCAAATGACTATCAAAGTACAGCATTGTTCACAGTGAATTAGATAGTGTTAATGTTGTTTAGAAGTCATACTTGCATGCTAATTCCGATCGAATATTCAAGGTAACATGGTAAAAAATAAGACGTTAGAGAACAATATGACTTCTAAATGAACGAATGTGCGAATATGAAACCAACTTTACCTCAGCCCTTTAGACTCCTTTTGAAAATTTGAGTAAAACCGTAACGTTAGTAACTATGTTTTTTGGCTCACTATTAATTTTATAACCTCAGTATTACTTCATATACTAACGTTAACGTTATTTTAAAATTATGATTCGTGTAGCAAAATCATTTGCCAGTTGTGGTCATACATAGAGGTAAAGTTGGTTTTATATTCGCACATTCGTTCATTTAGAAGTCATATTGTTCACCAGGTCACTTTGAATTTTCGATTGGAATTAGCATGCAAGTGTGGCTTAAAAACAACATTAACAATGTTTATTTGACTGTGAACAATGTTGTACTTTGATAGTTGTTGGCTGCTAAAATGATTTCACTATTTAGTGTTTGCAAATAATACTTTTATGAAATGATATTATTAAGGAGAAAGTCTAAATGTGCTAATATAAAACTAACTTTACCTCAATTGGTTATACATGGTTTAACTAGAGTAATATTGTTTTTTTGTTTAATTTTCCTAAGGGACAGCAACAGTGTAACATTGTACTATTACTGTACCTTCTTATAATCCTCATTAATTAAATCAAAACGAGTTTATTTGATTCCTCTAGGCTCTTATACCAGGCAGTTTTGTGTTCTTAAACTGTATGTGTGTGCAATGCATGTCATTTGATCTGCTGAAAAGCTTATTATTTATGTTGTGTCTCCAGATGAAGGAAGATCGCTTCCGTAAGATGTTTGCAGATTTTGGGACACTTACAGATTGTGCACTCAAATTTACCAAGGATGGAAAATTTCGCAAATTTGGATTTGTGGGTTTCAAGACAGAAGAAGATGCACAGAAAGCTTTGAAACATTTCAACAAGAGCTTTGTGGACACATCTAGGGTTACTGTGAGTGACAAGATCATGGAGTGTTTTCAAGCATTTCAAAACAATTCTAAAACTACAATACAGATTTTATCCCCCAATGTTAACTTGTACTTTTATTTGTATTTTTTTCTGAGAAAATAATTGGATTTTGTGCATTATCATGATTTGAAAAAGACATACACAACCCCCTAAATACTCTTTAATTATTATTACTTTGTCACTATCCTTCAATCCACTAGGTTTTACTTTTTTTTTTCAGTAAGAAGTTTTTGTTAATTTAAAATATAAAACAAATTAGCATTTCTGCTTTTTCTTTTATATATTTAAGTAAGTACAGTTTGGAATAAGATGTTGTTTAAGTTGTCAATTGTAAATTGTCAATTTTTTTTTGCTAAAATGCTTTTTTAAGTGGACATTAAAAATAAATCATTTATGAATTAAAATAGCAACCCAGATGGTTTAAATGAACATTATAAAATACCATTCAAATTTTTTTATCATCTGTCCAAAAAAGGTGGAATTGTGCACAGATTTTGGCGATCCAAACAAAGCCAGACCCTGGAGCAAACACACACGCCAGCCTTCATCAAAGAAAGATACAGAAGAAAAAAAAACACATGAGCAAGGAGAAAAAGAAAAAAAGGTTGGTTAACTAATTTCTGCCTTTTTCTCAGTGTCTGTGCTGAGCACTTACAATAAATGTGATTGCAAACTATAAAGTAAGATCTGATGTTTGCCATTTATTTTCTTTAGAGTAGTTTATAACTGAATTTATTGTAAAATATGCATTACAAATAAATCATTCTGAATTTATGCTCTTGCTCCACAGAAGCCGAAGAAGATTTTAAATGTTCTGGGAGATGTAAGTTTGCTTTTTTGTTTTGTGTCAACACAGTTCATACAAAATCGATGAACTTGCTGACATTCTATGAAATGTTGTTTGTAATTCCCAGCTTGAAAAAGATGAGAGCTTCCAGGAGTTTCTGGCAGTGCACCAGAAACGTGGACAGGTTCCCACATGGGCCAATGACACTGTGGAAGCGACTGCTGTTAGACCTGAAATGGAGAAGAAGAAAGAGAAGAAGCAGAAAGCGGCTGTTGAAGATGATTACCTGAACTTTGACTCTGATGAATCGGAGGAATCAAGTGATGACGGCGAGGATGCTGCAGATGAAGAGGACAAACAAGGTGCAATATTTAATTTAACAAATTTTAGCACTGATTACGATGTGCATTAACTCTTTGACTGCCCCTCTACCAAATAGTTGGCCATGTTTTTACTGTTTTAAATAATGTCTGTTAAAGTCATTTAAAGAATGGTTGTTTTAAATAATGACTTACACGCATTGTTGGTTTACAAAAAAAAAAAAAATCAAGCAAACATCCTGTTGCACTATTGCACTATATTACTATACTTGATTTCTTTTTTTTTTTTTTTACAATAAAATCAAAATCATGTTAAATGAGAATCTGATTGAGGTGATTTAGTATTCAAAAGCGTTTTATTTTGAATATTTAAAAAAATAAATTACTCTTACACTTCATATTTTCAGATTTTTCATAGTATGTGTATTGAGTGCGGTACTTTTACCATAAACCGACATATCAACCATTTGGTAGTAGGGATGCAACGATTAACCGATTTCCCTATTAACCGCGATTTAATTCATCACGGTTAAATAATCATAAAGGCTTCTCAACACCGGATTTCTGCACGGAACAAAAATTCATCAACTAAACAGAGTTATGCCAACTGTGCACTAGTTTAAAGTTCCAAAATTGTACACTGAGGCTAAAACCCACGCACACAGGATTAACTATGGCTGAGGCTCTTAATTAAGGGCCATTCAAAAATCGGGTCTTATGTGCGCGCAAGTTCGTTATTTTCAGTGGATGTACGCGGCTTACATGTGCTAATTGGCGGGCCATAACATGCTCGCGCACGCTTTACAGGTGCACCTAGTTAAAAGAATGCCATGACCACACCTTGACAAGAACTGGAACAATCAGCTTCATACTTTATTGAATATACACATTTCTACTACAAAGAGAGAAAAAAAAAAGAAAAATACCAAACAATTTTGTAATATAGATCAAACTTGCCTTTCAGACAGAGGTTCAGGAGCATTTGTTCTCTTTAAAAGAGAAAGATTTACATTAGACAAATTCATTTTATTTATTTTTATTTATTTATGCATTGTTCTTTCATTTATTTTCAGTGTAAAATTATTACTTCTGTTCAAATGCCAAAACCTTTTTTTCCACTTATTTTTAAGTGCAAAGAGAAATGGACTACTGTTTGTTTTTTATTTTTATTTTTGTGCTGTATTAATTGGTTACTGAGCAGCAATAAACAACAGTTTAAATATAAGGAGTTTTCATGTGATTTACTAGAAGTGTTTTGAAATTAAAACTGCATAATAATTGTGATAACCGTGATTATTTCTCAGGCTGTAATTGTGCTACCAAAATCCATAATTGTTGCATCCCTATTTGGTAGAGGCTGATATTTTAGAAATTATGGGGTTTGTTGGAAAAAAAATGCATTCAGTGTGTTAACTAGCGACATTAGGAGTTAAGAAATGCAATTCAAACAGTTTTTTTCTCTTGGTGGCTAGTTTAAGGGTTAATCATGACATTGTCGATATCGCAATGTGCAAATATGCAGTAGTTACATCGCAGAAGCTGCAATGTTGAGTTGTGATTATAATTAACCAGGAAAAAGTTCAGAACACAAGCAAAGCTTAACCCTAATTGAGTGAACAAAGTGTGTGTAAGGTTTCAAGTTAATTTAAACCATTTGGGTACAAGAAATTAGAAAATATGTAGCTTTAACAAAGATTAATTGTATTTTTTTTTTATTACAATGTAGATTATACAGTGTTGATATTTCACATCCGATTACACTGTTATTTGACATTTTATCTTAAAATGGGTGGGTGGGTGATTGGTGCAGATCTGCAGAGGGGATGCGTTCGTACTGAAGAGCGGTGTTATCGCGCGCGTACTGATCAGCTGTGTTGTCGCGCGCCTACTGAAGGGCGGGACCGAAGGTGTGCCGCGTCGCGGGGGCACTTTTGATCATTTTGGAAGGGCACTTTCTATCCAAGACTAAAAAGGGCATGTGCACTGCACAGGTTGAGCCCTATGTGTGCACGTGCCTGGTGCTCTGAATCGGGCTCAGGCCCAGTAGGAAAAGGTGTTACTGAGCGCGGTTCAATTGGGGGTTTGGCGCGATACGCTTGTGTGTGAGTGCAAAACGAAACTAAAAGTGAGACGTGACTTTAAGGGTGCTGTTTCATATGGATTAATTGATCATTCTTACTGTTCAATGAACGCAAACTGTCGTAGTTTATTAAAGATGCAAACCCCTCACTGCACGACAGCTGCTCCTTCAGCAAACCTCTTAATTCCTGCAGCACGAGGACTTTGATTGTTTATGAGCGTAAAAAGTGGTTGATCTGTTCTGCGAAATATTTGTCTGCGTGTCACTGCATATCAAACGACTAAAACAATATAACTAAAGAAATCTCCACAGTGTTGAGCGAAAGAGTTTACTGAACAGTGCATCATCGATGATGTAAGCGTGCCCAGGCCCGAGTGTAATGTGAGTGTGGGCCGTTGGGGGAGATGGGAGGGGGGACAAGCGTGCTTTGGCCCGGTTCAAGGCAACTGTACATAGTGTGAGTACGCCCTAATAAGCAACCTCCTATGCTCTATGCTACAAATATAAAATCATGAATTCTTAGCAAACATAAAGTTCTTTAAATAATCTTTTAAAATTACATGAATATTGCAGTAAATATTGCAGAAAAACTAAATATTGCATTGTCAGTTTCGTCCAATATCGTGTAGCTGTAGTTTTGATTCCCTTATCCTTTATCACAAAGTTTTAGAGATGGATTTTAGTGAAGTTCATGTATTGATAATAGGATCACCTTCATTAATTTACCCTGAGAAAAACTACTGTGTAAAACCTACAACAACACATGTCAAGATTTTTAATGGTGTTCTGATAAATTCAAGTGTGACAATGAAGTAATCTTTGACAGTTTAGACCTGATGAATTGCATCATTGTCATTCTGGAGTATTCTCGTTGAAAACATTTTTACCACATTCACTATTATATGATAATGTATATACTATATACTACCATAATACTTAATCCAGAATTGATATTTTAGAAATTAAAAGCTACACACAGCATCATTCAGTGCAATGTAAAGATGCAGCATGCAATATAGACGGCTAGCAGCTACAATTTGAATACAAAATATTGACAAATATGGGTTGCCAGATTGACAACACCAAACAGGATTGAGCATAGCTGACAATGGACTTTAGGCGCAAATGCATATCCAACAATGTTCTTTTTTTCCAGTAGATCTCTGATCACTTTTTAAATTGATGGCAGTTGGGTCAACATCATAAATTATTCTGCTGACAAAATAACCATGTGGCTGTTACCTCAGCCCAGTTGTTTAGTTAGTTAGAAAGCCATCCAACTGGTCCTTTCCCTGTTTAAAATAGCGTTTTTTGATGCATTTTATTTAATTTATAGCATCTTTAATGTGTGCATTATTTCACCAGATGCAACATGTAAAGACACTGTCACTCAGCTTAATGTCTGAAGGAAACTAGCATTCATATGTTACAGTAAAATAATTGGCTGTAACATTGTTTTTTTCGAGAAAGTAGGTCAAATTAGCATATTTATAGATAATTTTATCAATAAAGTTACTTACACATCATATTCTAAAGAATTGTTTGTCTAAATCTGTTTTCTCACCAGATAACGAGAAGGAGGCCTTGAAGACTGGTCTGTCTGATATGGACTATCTCCGCTCCAAAATGGTGGAGAAATCAGACATGCTGGATGAGAAAGATGACGACAGCAGTGCGAGTGCTGCTGATGAAAATGAGGAAGATGAGGGGAAAGAGGAGGAAGAGTCCATAGTCCAGCACGCAGACAGTGCTTATGAGAGTGGAGAGAAGACAAGCAGCCAGAAAAGCACAAGGCCAGCAGTGAGTGAAATAACTTTTAGTAAGCAAATATGGATTTGTCTCTGTTAGAGAGTAACTCTGTGCTCTTCATGCATTTTATTACAGATTGAGCCAACCACAGAGTTCACAGTCAAGCTACGAGGTGCTCCATTCAATGTCAAAGAGGTGAGATTTTTGTTATTGGGTGATATTGAATGTGTAAAACTTTTTATTTTTATTTTTTACAGCATCCTTAGTTAATGTTACAGCAAATAAACCAAACTATTACATTGATATTAACTGTTTAACTTTTTATGAAGTGCTGTCTTTAGCAGTGCATCAATATGAACATTTTATATCTATTAACATTGACCTATTTTTATGAATGATAAAAAAAAATACATACCAATTTTTTTGTGATAATGTGGCTGCCGATTGTACATCCCTAGCTAGCTTAACTGATCTGTTATTATAATGATTTATTTTTCTAATTTAAACAGTTTATTGTAGCATTCATGTATTACATTTTTACATATATAATTAAATTTATGTTAATGTTACGTTAATGTTTTTGCAACTGTTTATAATTACAAATCAGTTCTTAAACTGACCACAAATGTTTCTAGAGTAAATATTAATAAGTGTAAAATGTTTGTTTCTATCCTACTTTTACACACTTCGATATAAATTTGTGATGCTACTATATTTTATTTTTAGTTTAATTAATTATTAGAAATGTAGTCTGCTGTTTTTTTAAATTCATGCGTGCAAAATTTTAGTTTGACTGTTTTTAAAATAGTTAAAACAGTTTTTAAATGTGTTTTTAAATGTGTGTGCGTGTGCGTGTGTGTTATGTCATATCATATACACTTACCGGCTACTTTATTAGGTACACCTTACTAGCACCTGGTTCGTGGCCTTCGTGGCATAGATTCAAGTAGGTGCTGGAAATATTTCTCAGTGATTTTAGTTCATACTGACATGATAGCATCAAATGCTGCAGATTTGTGGGCTCCACATCCATGATGCGAATCTCCCATTCCACCACATTCCAAAGCTGCACTATTGGATTGACTGTGAAGGCTGTTTGAGTACAGTGAACTCATTATCGTGTTCAACAAACCAGTCTGAGATCATTGACACACCAGGCAACGTTTTTCCAATCTTATTTTCCAATAATAAAGTGACCTAATAATGTGGCCGGTGAGTGTATGTGTTGTGTATATGTCCGTCCCTATGCACAACTCCTTAACATTTCTGATTTTAGTTGTAATGCAGTAATGTGCACCTTATGTAAAGCTGCTTTGTAACAATAATTATTGTGAAAATACAAATAAACTTAAATTAAATTGAATGTATTTTATTTTGACCACAGCAACAAGTGAAAGAGTTTATGATGCCTTTGAAACCCGTTGCCATTCGATTCGCTAAGAACAGTGACGGCCGCAACTCGGGTAAGAGCATCTGCTTTTTTTCTGCCTGTTGATGGGTTGAAGATGTCAAGCTGCTGCAGATTGATTGATGTTGTATTTCCTGCAATAAGGTTACGTGTATGTGGACCTACGATCAGAGGCAGAGGTCGAGAGAGCCCTGCGCCTTGACAAGGACTACATGGGTGAGCACCTTTTCACTCTTTCTGATAAGTTCAGTACAGTGATGATTTTTCTTTGCTTCTGACATTTTTTACAGGTTTAATCTAATTTGAAAACAAGTATGGTACATGAAACTAGTTCCCGTTTGTTCATTATCTGTGTGAACCCACAGGAGGGCGCTACATTGAGGTTTTCAGAGCCAACAACTTTAAAAACGACAGGCGTTCTGCAAAAAGAAGCGAGATGGAAAAGAATTTTGTGCGCGAGCTGAAGGACGACGAGGAAGAGGAGGATGTTGCAGAATCTGGACGACTTTTCATTAGAAACATGCCCTACACGTGCACTGAGGAGGATCTGAAAGAAGTATTTAGCAAACACGGTTAGTCGCAGACACATGATAAATATTGTTATAAACAACAAGTGGATGACACAAAATACAGGTGTAAACAGAGTATGTTGAGCTTGTCTTCCAGTGGTAGTCAAAAACACTTTTTGTCTGGATTAGTTTTGTAATGTAGACTCATGTCAGGGAGTCCGCAGTGTCTTAAAAGGTCTTACATTTCAAAAACTAAATCTTAGGCTTTGAAAAGTAATGGATTCACTGAAATATTGTGTTGTAGGTCTCAAATAATTTAATAAAGTCTTAATTTTCATATGTCCATGTGAATTTATCCGATCAGTCCAACACCCACCAAATCCCCAAGTAATAGAACTTTTAACAATAGTTGAATTTTAACTCTGTTTACCAACATAGTTTAATTATCTTCTCTACAATAGCATTTGATTAAAAGCTCTCCATGTATTTATAGCTATACCTGGTGAGGAAACTGACCTGGAGAGACTGTTGAGCATATGTTTAGTTTAGTACAATTTTTAAGCTTTTTTTAAAGAAATGTTATGCAAATAAAAAGTGCATGTAGACTAGATATAACTAGAGTTTGCTTGTTTTGACACATTATTTGAAGTATGTGGCTAAGAAGTAACTAAATTAGATTTATATTTAGTTTTTTTGATGAGGCAAGTAAAAAGATTTTCCTTTTGTCCACCCAGGCCATAAGAAAAAAAATGCTTTGTGTTTAGCCCTCTATAAAGGTCTTTGCACACTGAAGTCCTAAATGTTCGTATGCGTTTTTTTTTTTCAAAATCATATGCAAAAAAATCATCATGTAAACAAACCTTGCACACTGACTCCGATGCGTAGCTCATTATCAAAGATCTGCGCTGGAATTTTGATACATTGCTTGTGATACTTTACACATTCACGTACGTAAACAAATCCTGAAAAGAGACTGGCATATTAAATGACATTATAATAGATGGTGGCTGCACTGAAGTATCGAAGCAGCAGACCGAAAGCGGACCATGCTTTCTATTATAATGTCTATGGGCAGTACATTAACTGTGTATGGACACACACACACACACAAACACACACAAACAAAGCAGCAGCAGCAGGGGAGAGGTGCGCCAGTCACTAAATCCAGCATAAAGGGGTTCTCAGCTGTCCGCCACATTCTGTCTTTATTTTATGCTTTTTATGTTTATCATAACGTTGTCTGTAGCTCAGATGATGGAATTCTGTAATTAGCTTTTCACTTTTACGGTGGGTCTGAACTGTTAAAAGCAGAAATATCCAGAATTAATTTTTTTAGCGTACGAAAATTACAGATGAAAATTTCAGATTCAGTGTGCAATACCCTTATGTTAAAACTTTATTCATAACTTTATTCTTAAATTTGACTTGATGAAACCTGCAGAAACTCTGAATGTGGTCTAATGCATTGCAGCAGCCACTCGATGGAATTTAAATTGTTTGCTGTTAAAATGGTAATTTCGATTTGATAGCAAAAAAATTTTAAAGCTAATGTTCTCTTACAGTCCTGGTCCTATTAATAGTAGTTTTGTATTTTTTTAGAGCAGAAATCAAAGCTTCAAACTAATCTTTGTTGTCTCATCAGGTATTTATGTATGATTTCTGCTGACTTATTCTGTGATATTAGAATGATGAGAAATTGACAATATATCTATAGACTCTTAAAGAATTCAGTTAAGGGATTGAAAGTGGACAAAAGATTAAAAATAAAACATCAGATGTAAGTAGGAAACGGTTGTAAATACCAATGACATACTAAGCACAAATACCTAGGAAATTCATTTTATCTTCTCCCAAATTCTGTTTTATAGATTTTTTCTTGGTTTCTTTTTTAAATGTACCTTTTTATGCTTTAAATAAAACTTTTTTTTTTTTAATTTTGGCTTTTGTTTTAGCAATACTTTACAAAACCGAAATTCTGAAAATTCTGTTGAAGTTACCCAACGGCCGTGAGATCACGTTATGTAGTAACATTACATATAGTACTGTAACTAAATCAAATTTTTTGTACGTTTTTATCAATTAATTCTGCCTGTGTTTTCTTTAATGCATACCTTAATTTCTTGGTCTATTTTTTAAAAAAAACAATTATTTTCTTGTGTCCCCCATCAGGTCCTCTATCTGAGGTGCTTTTCCCCATAGACAGTCTGACTAAGAAGCCTAAAGGCTTTGCATTTGTCACATACATGATACCAGAGAATGCAGTATCAGCCCTGGCTCAGCTGGATGGACACACATTCCAGGTACTGATCTGTTCTTTTGACCTCAGCTTTGTCTATTGGGGCTGTCTTTGTTTTCTTACCTCTGTTTGGACCCTATAGGGTCGCGTTCTGCACGTCATGGCTTCAAGGCTGAAGAAGGAAAAGGCCGATCAGGGGCCTGATGCTCCCGGCAGCTCCTCATATAAGAGAAAGAAAGACGCCAAAGATAAGGCAGCCAGCGGCAGGTCAGGATCTGTCTGGAGCTGAAAAAACTTGCACTTTATTTTAAGGTGTCTTTGTTACAGTGTCACTATACATTATACAAGTACTGAAGAGTTAAAATTGACTGCAGGTACTTGCTGTATATATGGTTAGAGTCAATGTAGGGTGCAATGAGTTACAAAGAAATTAAATTACATGTTTAGTGAAAGTAATTAATGGATTACTTTTATTTTGGAGGTCATTTAATTACAGTTACTTATACTTGCCTTATATACTGTTAATAAATTTAGCAGTTTTACATTGGTGATAGTGTTATAGTGGGTTATTGTCTGCTTTTATTTTTGGTGTTGGATTAATATTTGCTAGTAGGGAAAATGTTTTATTGCACAACAATTAGTTTATCAGGCTTTTTGGCTAAAAAAGAGAAATCACTGTTTAATTTGCTATTATAAAAGTATTTTTAAATTTCACCTATCATTCTGTGCGTAAACTAAGGGTTTATTGTTGTTCTTATAGTAAGTACATGGAATGTGTTAGAAACAAAGACCACAATGTTACCAGTTGTCTTCTCTTTATTGCCTTTTTAATTCAGCTCTCATAACTGGAACACGCTGTTTTTGGGTACGAGTGCAGTGGCCGATGCCATCGCTGAGAAATACAACACAACCAAGAGCCAAGTGTTGGATCACGTGAGTCTTTGAGTCGTATGAATGCTCTTTATTTTGTTTTGGAGATGATAAACAATGGACTTGCTTCTGTTTGTGTGCAGGAGTCTGATGGCAGTCTGGCTGTCAGGATGGCTCTTGGAGAGACGCAGATTGTACAAGAAACCAGACAGTTTCTCTTGGACAATGGAGTTTCTCTGGACTCGTTCAGTCAGGTATAGTGTGTTTGCTTTACTCATACACTATTCATTAGTCTGGGTTCAGTTCAATTTTTATTTTAATTACTTTCAACATGATACCTCACCCTAAAATGAAAATCCTGTCATCATTTGATTCGTTTCAGAGTTTTGGGCTTCTGTTGAACACAAAAGGAGATATATTGAAACCTGCTGCTATTTTCTTACATAGTATTTGTTTTTGTTTTTCTGTGTATTCCAAAGGTTGCTTGTTTCCAACATTCATCAATATATCTCCTTTTTTAAAACAAACAAACAAACAAACAAACAAACAAACAAAGACAAAAACAACCTCACACTGGTATGGAACAAATTGAGGGTGAGAAAATGATAACAATTTTCATTTTCGGGTGAACTATTCCTTCAAACTTATCAAGAATACCAGTAAAATATTGATGTTTTACCACGTACAGTTGTTTTTGCAAACACATTAGTTTATATGACAGCTTTCAGAATTGGTAATAATAACAAATGTTTCTTGTGCATCAATACCAACTCATTACAATAATTCTGAATTTTAGCCCTCGTTCAGTCAGGTATAGTGTGTTTGATTTACCCATACACTGTTCAAGTTCACTGTTCAGACACTTTTCAGAATCTGCATTCAGTACAATTTTTTTTAAATTAATTACTTTCAACTATGGAGTCCTTAAAGGGATTCTACACCCCAAACTGAAAGTCCTGTCATCATTTGTAGCATTTCAGGCATTTTCACTGAAGGAGATATACTGAAACCTGTAACCATTTTATTCCATATTTCTTTTTTTGCTACTATGAAAGTCAATGTTTACCTGTTTCCAACATTCATCAATATATCTCCTTTGAAAAAAAAAAAAAAAAAAAAACTAAGAAACAAAAAAAGAAAAAAAAACAACCTCAAACTGGTATGGAACAAATTGAAATTGATGACAGAATTTTCATTTTTGGGTGAACTTCCTTTAATCTCATCAAGAATATTAAATTACTTTCAACATAGGGTACTTAAAAGGATTCTTCAACCAAAATGAAACCCCTGTTATCATTTGATTTGTTTCAAAGTTTTGGGTTTCTTTTGAACACAAAAAGGTGATATACTGAAAGCTGTAACCATTTTCCTCCTAAGTATTTGTTTTTTTTCTTCTGTGGATGTCAATGGTTGCTTCTTTCCAACATTCATTAATATATCTCCATTTTTAAAATAAAATATAACAAACAAACAAGCAAACAAAAAACTCTCAAACAGGTATGAAACAAATTAAGAGTGAGAAAGCAATGACAGAATTTTCGTTTATGGGTGAACTATCCCTTTAAACTGATCAAAAATACCAGTAAACATTAATGTTACAAAAAAGACTAAAATTTCAAAGAAACTGTCCAGTTTGATTTTTCTGTTCATTAAATAACCCTATAAAATGTTAAATGATATTTGCAAAAGTGTTAGTTTCTACTACTGTTTTCACCATTGATAATAATAACTAATGTTTCTTGAGCATCAAACCAGCTCATTACAATCATTTCTGAAAGATGACGGGATGCTGAATACACTGAGTGAGACATTGAAGCTGAATATTCAGCTTTAAAATGTTATTTTTATATACATTGTGCATTCTTGATTGAATCGCTCGCATTATTCTTTAACATATATTGAAATAACAACATGATAATGATTCATAATAAGGGCACATTTAAAAAACAAAAAGCTTGATAGAACAACATCAGTGTCCAAAAACTGACTCCTCTTCATCATCATCTTCAGACAATGCTGACCAAAAGTTATGGAAATCACGTCGATCAACGGTGTGGTCATCATTTACAGCATTGACAAATGTGCTAGCACAATGTCAAGGTGTATCTGAGGCTGTAACTTTGCAATACTTAAACAAATTGAAATAACAATGTGATAATGATTCATAATGATTCATAGTAAGGCCACATTTAAAAAAAAAAAAAGCTTGATAGAACAAACATCAGTGGCCAAATCCATCTTTTCTGTTTGTATCCACATGGTTAACTCATCTATATGTTTATACGTGTGTGGTTTCCAGGCGTCGGGTGAGCGCAGTAAATGTGTTATCCTCGTAAAGAACTTGCCGTCAGGAGTGCAGGTTGCAGATCTGGAGGCTCTGTTCTCGCCCCATGGGTCTTTGGGTAGAGTTCTGCTGCCCCCTTCTGGCCTTACAGCGATAGTGGAGTTCCTGGAGCCCACAGAAGCCAAACGTGCTTTCATGAAACTTGCATACACAAAGGTCAGTGGGCACTTGTTTGGAATGGCCATTTCAGCTAATGTTTAGGCTATGTTTTATTGGGGCTTTAGCTAGTTTAATCAAGCTTTAATGACAGCATATGATGTTATATGTTTGTATTTCTCTTTCTAGTTTCAACATGTCCCTTTGTATCTGGAATGGGCTCCTGTCGCTGTCTTTACAACTCCCTCAGCACCTAGACCAGGTAATACTTTAATTCTGGTTCAGCCATCTGCTGTAATTAAACAATCAATTCAATGTTAGGTGACTATGATGCGTTTTCATTTGTTGTCTCTTTTTTTTTTCTCATTAATAATAAGTAATAATAATAAAACTATTCTAGAGTACATCCCAATCTGTGTTTCTGTGATTTATTTTTCTTATATTTGTTCTGTGTTGTCCCAATCTGTGTTTCTGTGTTAGTTCTTTGTGTTATTCTCTGATTCTGTTTTTCCTCCCAGAGCCTCAAACCAAAGAGAAATCTGCTGTGAAAAATGATTCAGTCCAAAATGAAGAAGAAGAGGAGGAAGAGGAAGAAGATGACCAGATTTTACCTGGCTCGACTCTCTTCATTAAGAACTTGAACTTTATCACCTCAGAAGAAACATTACAGAAGGTAAACTAAAAACACACACACACACACACACACACACACACACACACACACACACACACACACACACACACACACAAACACACAAACACACACAAGCATATGCTTGAGCAGCAAAGCGGTTGTGGTTTAGGGATTTGCAGTGGAAACCTGAGAGGCCTTCTTGTTTTGCTGATCACAGGAGACTCATTTAAGATGCATATTAGTTCTAGGTGTAAACATGTGTTGTGTGATCAGATCACCTGAAACGGATGTTCATAACAGGTGTAAACATGGCCCGTGTCTCACCATATGGCTTTCATTGCATTCTTTTGACAGACGTTTTCTAAATGCGGTGTGGTGAAAAGCTGCACGATATCAAAGAAAAGAGATAAAGCAGGTTTGTTTTCTCCGAAATGCATATTTACTGTATTGATATTCATCTGTGCGCTTGTTAGTTTTCTCATTTCTCCGTCTCGTTTCAGTCGCTGTGTGAATCTCACCCTGATCTCTTTGTGTGTGTGTGTGTGTGTGTGTGTGTGTGTGTGTGTGTGTATGGTGTGTGTGTGTGTGTGTGTGTCATGCGTCTCAGGTAAATTGTTATCGATGGGTTACGGCTTTGTGCAGTACAAAACTTCAGAGGCGGCACAGAAAGCCATGAGACAGCTGCAGGTAAATGACCATCTGCTGTGCTTTCATCACTGTGTTTATGTGCTCTTATTATGCGCAAATATTCAAGTGATGAAGTAAATTCAGGCATGTTTTTTCCTCGTTTCATTCATTTTTCTTGCAGCACTGCACAGTTGATGAGCACCAGCTTGAGGTGAAGATATCAGAGAGAGAAGTCAAGTAAGTCTTTTGTGTACTCCATTTTCAAGTGCTGTGTAGATTTGTTAAAGCTCGTGAAGACTTCTATTCTCGCTAGGCAATTTGCAGGGTACTAGGTTACATCATTTTTTGCTATCAGAACTGCCTCAGTTGTCCATGATAATATGATTTAAATAGTAAGAGCATTTGTTTGCCATGGACCTGCTAGTTTGAAGTGAAGGTGTGTTAAAGGAATAGTTCACCCAAAAATGAAAATCATCATTTACCTTGTTTTAACTAGTTTCAAACATTTATGATTTTCTTTGTTCTGTTAAACACAAAATAATATATTTTGAAGAAACTTACCTTTGTAGCCACGTGTAACCATTCAATTTAATTCATCTTTATTTCTATTGTGCGTTTACAATGTAGATTGTGTCAAAGCAGCTTAGTTGCAGTTAGTTCTGGTAAATTGAAACCGTGTCAGTCCAGTTTTCAGAGTTGAAGTTCAGTTTAGTTCAGTTCAGTGTGGCTTTTCACTGCTGAAAGTCCAAACACTGAAGAGCAAATCCATCGATGCGCAGCTTCACAAGTCCCAAACCAAGCAAGCCAGTGGCGAGGAGTACACTTCACCAGTTGACAAAAGTGAAGGAAAAAAACCTAGAGAGAAACCAGACTCAGTTGGGCATGACCATTTTTCCTATGGCCAAACTTCTTGTGGAAAGCTGCAGTCTAGGCGGCGGAGGCTATAGAACGCTGGACGTCTATAGTAGAGACCTCCATTGGCTTCCATAGAATTTGTTTTTCCTCCTAGGGAAGTCAATGCTTACAGGTCTTCAACTTTCCTCAAAATATCTTTTTTTTTCTGTTAAACAGAAGAAACTAACTCATAAAGGTTTAAAACCACTTTAATGGTGCTTAAATAATGATTACATTTCCTTGCTGTCCCTTTGAGGTGCATTAATGGTGGATTGCAAATTTGATGCAGCTGAAATAGACTGCACCTTTGACCAACTAAAGGCTTATCTGAAGTCAATGGGGCAGTTTTTAAAATTTAGTTATTTAGGGTGTACTCATACTAGGCATGGTTACCTTGAACCGATCCTGGGCAGAGTTTGTAAGGTCTTGCCCTCAGCTCGTACTTGCACTGCAATTTTACCTTCCGAGCCCAAGCATGCCTATGTCATCAAAGATGCTACTATTCTGTCAGAAAGAGAAGAGCTCTTGCTCAGTACAATGGAGATTGCTTTAGTTAGTATTTTTGTATTATTTTTAGTCGTTTGGGTTGCAGTGACACACAGTCGAATATTTAGCTGAACAGAGCCACCACTTTGGTGCTCAATAATTTTAATGAAAATCATCATGCTGCACATTAGGAGGTTTGCTGAAGGTCCAGCTGACATGCATCTTGGTGTTAGCAAGTTTAATAAACTGTGACAGTTCACTTACATTAAAAAGTAAGAATTATTAATAAATCTATATGAAACAGTCCCTTTAAACTGACTCCGTGTCTTCAGTTTTGGGCTCAGGCGAGCTTTGCACTCACACTACAAGCGTATTGTAGTAGACCAACCGAACCGCACTCCTCTTCCAACCAGGCAAGGGTCGGCTAACTGAACCGGCGTGATTCGAAGCACTCACACTTGTCAAATGAGCTGGGAAATGGTGGTCAAATGTGCCCTGGGACGGTTCGAATAGCATAATTTGAGTATACTCTTAAAGGACGCGTTATTAAAATGCACCTATAAACGTACATACATGTTGCTTATTACTTAAAGGGACATGCAGCAGCACACAAACATCTTTATATATAATTAAAAAAAATGTGTAAAATGTTTTTAGTATTATTATTATCTACAAAAAATGATGAACTTATATGTCCTGCCATGCCTTCTTCACCTCAGGGGCCTTTTGTGGAATTTGGCTGTTTCTGTAGATGGTCTGCTGCATTTTAACCTCACGCATGAGCACATTTGTTTTCTTGCTAGGAAAGCGTTCTGTTTTTCCTCTTATAAAGTCCTCTATGTAAATAGCGAGTCCGCTTGGCGCAACCATAACTGACTCGTGAAAGGAATCGGAAACTGATTGGTTTACTGTGCACCGCCAAAAACTTATTAAGACAATAAGGATTGTTCTCATCTTTTAAGTAGCAAGAGTTGATTCGGACATGCCCTAAGTACAACATCCATGTGTGCTTTAGACCATGCGCTTAGATCGATAAAGTAAAGCCCGTTGTTATGTTCAAGAAACCATTTTGGATTGTTTTGAGTTTTCTGATATCGTCCTGCTACAATTGGCCATAACAAGATAATCAAGGTATGGACATTGTGAGGAACAATACTCTCAAACTTGGCACAAACCTGACCCATTGATGCAAAGCAGCATGGTTCCATGAATTTTTTTATTTTTTTACATCAAATTCCGACCCTATGATCTAATAACACAGTAGAGGTTAAGACTCATCAGACCAGGCAATCTTTTTTTTTTTATCTTATATTGTTTATTTTTTTATATATAGTAATAGGCATAGTAAAGTATGAGTAAGTTTACATTTTTGGGTCAACACTTCTTTCCTAGTTGCCCCGTGACATTCATTAATGTCATTTAAATGTGGCACCGGTCACATGTATGAGTGAAAAACGTGTTCCTTATGTTGTTTTTGTAGGTCAGGTGTGGCACAGGCCAAGAGGAAAAAGCAAACCGCCAGGAAACAGACGACCTCTAAGATCTTGGTGCGAAACATCCCTTTCCAGGCCACAGTCAAAGAGCTGAGAGAACTCTTCTGGTAAACATCCTTTCACATTTTAATGTTTCATGCCATATTATTCCAACAAGTGTGGAATTTCTAGCATGTATATGGTACCTTAACAATATTCGTATGCAATAGCATTTTTAATACCAGAGAGAAAATATTGCATTAGCATGAAGTAAAATTAAAATGTTTTCACGTCTTCATTTTTTTTAGACGTGAAGGTTTGAATGGTTTGAATGGTTAAGATGTTCACTTGCATTGCCAAAATTTAACCATTGTTTGAAAGTTGTTTGCATCGTTGTTTAAAGCAACGTCAATGCTAACTTAGAGTTGCAGGCAAAAATATTAGATTATTAGAAAATTATTTGAAATTTGAATTCTTCAAATATTTCCAGGGTGATGTGTAACAGAGCAAAGACATTTTCACTATTCCTATTATATATAATTTTATTCTGGATAATTTTACATTTTTAGTTTGGCTGAAATAAAAGCGGTTTTATTTATTTTTTCAAAGTAATTTTTAAGGTCAATATTATTTGTATGTTTTAAGAGATGATAACTGTTTGATTGGCTACAGAACAAACCACTGTTGTCATTGACTCACCTAGTTAAGCTTGGCTAGTCAAAATAATGTTAGTTAAGCCTTTAATTTGCACTTTAGACTGAATAAAATTGTCTTCCAAACCACTAGATAAATATCATTTAAGGTCATCATGGCAAAAACAATAAATTAGGTTTAAAAAGAAAACTCCATTAAACATTACTTAGGAAATAATTGAAAAACCATTACAATTTCATAATGAATTTGCCTTTTACTCTATACAGTGGTCCCTCACCATAACGTGGTTCACTTTTCACCACCTCGCAGTTTTACAGATTTTTTTTTGTGCAATTTGACATGCTTTTTTCCCCAAAGCATTGTGTTCTGTTTTCTGATTGGCTGTAGAGCATTGTCAATCAATCTTCTCCATGCCGTGCCACTGTACAGTACAGAATGCGTTCAGCTTGCCAAATTTACATGAATCTTTGATCACTAGCAGTGTGACTCTGAAGTGCTGGACTGTACATTTTCTTTCCAACAAATCCCATAATGTCGTAAAAACATTCTGCACAGTCAAAGGCACCTGTGGCAACCCCCAAAAGGTAGAGGAAGATACTAGCATCACACAAAAAGTTGGACTTCTTGGTCCACTTGGAGTGTTTAAAGAAGAGAGAAAAAATAGGAAAATGTTAATTCCTATCTGAGAAAAATTGTAGAGTGTAGTGAAGGATTTTAATGCCTTAAGACATCTATAATAATTGTAAAAGTAAAGCGGACTAAATTGAAGATTTCACCTATTGCAGACTATGTTTAGGATGTAACTCTCCCAAGATTAACGAGGGACCACTACATATTACTGTATAATATAGATTACTGCAAACATTACTGAAGACAAGTGATCTGTAATAAACAAATTATGACCAATAACCCTAATAAATAGAACAGAACAAATGTACAGATGAAAACAGCGCTTTAGGTTGTTCTAACAGTCATTTTTGTCTTTTGTTTTTAATTAAAATAAAAACTTTTAAAGTATGGCATGTCATATACTGTAACATATTTTTCCCTATCTGTTAAAGCAAAAGAACATGTAAAGGAGATCTCTAAGAAAGAGATGCACAAACAGTGCTCAAGTGTTGAGTTTTTTACTTCAGGGTGTCTGCAGGGTCTTAAAGTATTAAAATGTCTTAAATCTCAAAAACAAAATTGTAGGCCTCAAAAACTCTTAAATTTACTGAAATATTGTGTTATAGGTCTTAATTGTTTTTGTAAACAGGTCTTAATTTTTCTCTGTTCATGTATAGCTACCCAATCTGGCCAACACCCATCCAATCACCAACAATCTATTTCAGTAAAACTTTAAACTTTTCTCTATGAATGTCATTATTAAAGTCTAATTACCATAATGGTTTAATTATTTTCCAATAAAACAATAACAATAAAACAATAACAGTTGTTTAAAAGTGAGGAAGCTGACCTTGTCAGACTTTTGAGCATACGGCGGATGTCCTTTCAGCAGCAACCCTTCACTGGGAACACCCATACACTCTCATTCATACACATACACTAAAGACAATTTAGCTTACCCAATTAACCTGTACCGCATGTTTTTGGACTGTGGGGGAAACCGGAGCACCCGGAGGAAACCCACGCAAACGCGGGGAGAACCTGAAAGCTCCACACAAGAAGGTTGCTGGGTCAGTTGGCGTTTCTGTGTGGAGTTTGCATGTTCTCCCTGCGTTCGTGGGTTTCCTCTGGGTGCTGCAGTTTTCCCCACAGTCCAAAGACATGCAGTACAGGTGAATTGGGTAAGCTAAATTGGCTGTAGTGTATGAGTGTAAATGAGAGTGAATAAGAGTTTTTGGATGTTACCAAGAGATAGGTTGCAGCTGGAAGGGCATCCACTGTATATAACATGTGCTGCATAAGTTGGCGGTTCATTCCGCTGTGGCGACCCCAGATTATTAAAGGGACTAAGCTGAAAAGAAAATGAATGAATGCTCTTTAAAAGCTGCAGAAACCCTGTACTTTGTTTTTCTGCATTTCTAAACTGATAAAATACTTATATTGATGCATAACTACTGCATATTGCCAATATTTGCTAAAAAGTACTATTGTAATTTCATGGTTTTGTACTCTAATAGAAGTCGAGGTGTTGTAGATGATGTTGGATTCATGTCTTTCCCTCAGTACGTTTGGAGAGCTGAAGACAGTCCGCCTGCCAAAGAAAGGGATTGGTGGATCCCACCGTGGTTTTGGCTTCATTGACTTCCTCACGAAACAGGATGCCAAGGTGTGTGCAGCTGTCTCTGTTTCTTTCTGTTGCTCTTGTTTTTACGGTCAAACAGCTGATTGTCTTTGATTCGGTTTAGTGTCTAACAGGAACTTTGTATGTGTGACAGAAAGCGTTCTCAGCACTGTGCCACAGCACTCATCTGTACGGCAGGAGGCTGGTGCTGGAGTGGGCAGATGCTGAGGAGACGGTAGACGACCTGCGGAGGAAAACCGCACAACACTTTCATGGTAAAATCTCTGCTTTATACTTCAGCCACAGTCATGGAGAGCAGACGCTGTGAAACTGTTTGATCAGTCACATTAAATGCAAACTTAATTTGACACACTTTCTTAGTAGCCTGACAAAACAAGCTGTTTTTGGTAGCATCACAGGATGAAAAAAAGATTAGCGTTTCGTTTTTATGACACTATGAAATAGAAAGTTTTAATGGATTTGTATGGTCAATCTCTTTTTTCAGTTGAGCCCCAAATACAGTAAAAGACTAAATTATTAGCCCTCCTGTGAAAATTTTAATTCTGTTTTTTAAATATTTAACAAATTATGTTTAACAGAGCAAAGACATTTTCACAGTATTTCTTATATATTTTTTTCTTCTGGGGAAAGAATTATTTCTTTTTTTTAAAATTCTAAATAAATAAAACTAAATATCTTTTTTGCATTAATTTTTTTATACAATTTTAATGATAATTTTTCCTTCAATTGTACGTTTTGTTGCATTTATCTAAACAAAATAAATAAAAATGTCATAAAATAAATAAAATAGTTTTTTTTATTCTAATTAAATCATGTAAATATAATTTTTACATTAAACTTTTAAAAAATAATTTATATAATACTTGTGCCTTCAATTGTGTGCTTTTTACATTATTTAAAACAACAATTAAGTGTCTGAAAATGGTTAAATGAAAATAAATGTTCAGTAAATATATTATTTATGTGCAACATTTACAAATGCTGTATTAATAGCAATTATACTTGAGAATAACGCTTCGTCTGTGGTTGGATGTTAAACAGAATACTATTTAATTACCATGCTAAATTTTAGTGTCATAGCAATATAGGATAGAGTTAAGCAATGTTCTTTATAAAATATTCTGTCTTTAATTTCTAGTTAAAAATAATAATAAATAAATGAATAAAAAAATCATTTTTTATTCTAAATTAAAAAATGTAAATATCATTCTTACATTAAACTTTTCATATATTTAAATTTATAATTTTGCCTTCAATTTCGTTTTTTTAATGTAATTAATTAAAACAAAATGAAGTGTCTGCAAATTGCTAAAATGATTAGATTGCTAAATTTGTATGGCATAGTTATATAGGAATGAGTTTAGCAATTATTTATAAAACATTCTGTCTTTAACTTTTAGTTAGTTAAATAAATAAATAAATAAATAAATAAATAAAATTAATAAATCGTTTTTTTTAACTTTTTTTTTCAAAATAATGTGCATATATTTTTTACATTAAATGATTTAATATATTTTATGTAATTTTTTCCTTAATTGTGTGCTTTTTCATTATTTAAAACAAAAATAAAGTGTCTGAAAATGGCTAAATGTAAATTAATGCTTAGTAAATATAATATTTATATATAATAATATGATATATACTGCATTAATAGCAATTATACTTCAAATACTTGAGAGAAATGCTTAATCTGTGGTTGGATATTAAACGGAATACAATTTTATTACAAATTTAAAATTTTAATGCCGTTCACTACCTGATAAAAGTCTTGTCTTCGATCCCAATTGTAAGAACAACAAATAATAACTTAACCTCTAGTTAATCATTTGGAAAAGTGGCAGAAGGTCGAGTTTTCTTTTTTATTTTCTTTTTTTTCCCTAATGAATTATCTGTTGAACTGCATCAAAAATCACCACTAATACTGCAGAAGAACTATTGGAACCTGCATGGGTCCAAGATTCTCAGCGAATTCAATCAAGTTTGGTGAAGGAAAAGTCATGGTTTGTAGTTACATTCAGTATGGGGATGTGCGAGAGATCTGCAGAGTAGATGGAAACATCAACAGCCTGAGCTCTCAAGACATTTGTGCTGCCCATTACATTACAAAACATAGGAGAGGTCAAATTCTTCAACAGGATAGCGCTCCTTCCCATACCTCAGCCTCCATATTAAAAGTCCTGAAAGCAAAGAAGGTCAAGGTGCTCCAGAATAGGCCAGCCTAGTCACCAGACATGAACATTATTAAGCATGCCTGGGGTAAGATGGAGAAGTCATTGATGTATGGATGCAGTCATCCAAGCTCATGGGAGTGAGACACAATATTAATTACTACATCATGACCATATGTTCTATACAGTACATTATTTCTGTTAAGTGACAAGACTTTTGTCTAAGCAATGTCAGACCTTACTGTCCTAATTGAACAATTAAAAATCAAGGCATGATCATATTTTATTTTGGTAAAATAAGCGTAATCTAGAGGCCTTTGCCTTTCATAAAAGCCACTTCTGATATAGGCAACAAGACTTTTATCAGGTAGTGTATGTGGACTCTATTATTTAGTTCTGCTGCTTTAGAAACATAAGCAAAAAACATTAACCAGTAACCTCTAAACAGATTGATCTAAAATGCTCAGTTGTTATATTCTGTCAAATTAAATGTCCTTTTAAAAGCAAAGAATCTTAATTAAAGTAGGAGTAAATTAAATGAATGTCAAATCCTGTCAAGTAATTCAGCTCATCATTAGTTTGTGCCAGATACAAAAAGTGTTGATTTGTATTTAATAGCGCTTAATTGTTTGAATTGTTTACTTCGTTTTGTCAAACTTTTTATTTTTTGGCGCTACTTTGACTGTCAAAACTCTGCCAAAACACAAGCTACTCCTTATTTGAAGCGTTTTCTCTAACATCGATCGCAATCCTAGTCATTTCCCAGTCTGTAATTAAATTAAAACAAATCTGTGCGCAAATCTGTCTCCCTCAGATGCTCCTAAGAAGAAGAGGAAGGCGGAGGTGTTAGAGGGAATCCTGGAGCAGATGGAGGTCGGCGATGGAGACGGCGAGTGAATAGCAGCCGTCAGTCATTCACCTCCAGCATCAATAAGAGAGTAAATCATCCAGTGCAACTTCATTTATCTCTATTATGACTGCGTCTTAAACAGCTGCTTCACGGGCCCTCTTCAGGAATTCTTCCTTTTGGCCCCAGATGCTCCCAATTAGCTTTTTATTATATGCTCATACATCATCCCTGTTATTGCTGTCAATGCATTAAACACTGCGTCTCCCTGCAGACCCGCTCCGACTGAAGGTGAACTCCAAGACTAAGTCCTTTTAGAAAAGCAAAAGCCCGAAGGCCACGCTTGCTTTGGCTGTTTTTAATCGTCACAGAGGGCCGAGACGGTTCATACACTGCCTTGACACGCGGATGACATTGAGAAATCGTATCAGAAATGAAATGTGGAAGGGGTTTGATTGTTGTTTGTACACACAGAGATTGTGTATTTTATTTCCAGATGCTTACATAATTATGTAAAGTTTTTGAGGTGTTTAAAGTGATGGTTCAGCCCAAAGTGATGTGTTATTCACTGTCAAGTGGTTTCAAAACATTTAGTTTTCTGTTGAACACAATAGAAGATATTTTGAAGAATGCTGGAAATCCATTATAAAGAATAAAAAATACTTAAGTGGCTGTCGATTTCTCAAAATATCTTCTTTTGTGGAGAAATGAAAGCTTAAAATGTTTCAAACAAGCAGTTGTTGAGTGAATTACAAGGTTTTTTTTGGTAATTTTGTGCAGGGTGAACATGTTCTTTCATTGCATTGCTATTAAATCTGGCCACTGGTCAGTGTTGGTTTTTGAAAAATGACCTTTTTGGGGTTATACTGTATATGACTATAATAAATTAGTCTGGAAAGAGGAATATTCACTCTGGAAACATCTTTTTGTAAAGTTTGTAAAGTCTGAGGAACATCATGTTGCTTCAAACTAAGCTGTTATGTCAATGACATTTATTGTTCTGGTGCTTTACTGAAATGTTTGTTTGTTCAACTAAAAATGGAAATTTCTATCAACATTTATCTTATTTCATTAATCTTATTCCAAAATATAAAAGCTTAGTATACAAAGCCAATTATGGGTTAGTTGCTCTAAAAAAAGTCATTAATTTCTGATTGCATCTTTACAATTGTATTTAAATAAGTTTTCTAATTACAGTCAATAATTTTAGTGCGTAAGTCTCAATGCATAGTCAACAGACTTCACACTTTTAATTCTATAAATTAGTTTTGTTTTTGGTTTTGTTTAAAAAAATAATAATAATAGCCCATTTTTTTATTAAATGAAATATAAAGTCATTAATTGAAAACGTTTTTTTTAAAGCATGTGCAGTTGTTGGACAAATAAAACCTTTTTTTTTTACTTATGGAAAATATCTAAACAACAACAAAATAAATTATTTACAATGACTGTTTCTTTGAATTTATACCTTGTGTCATGAAATTATTTCATTTTTTCTTAATCGTTTGTTTTGATAAATGTTTCTAAATAGTAAATTAAAATTATTCTGCAAATATACTGCTTCCCTGGATTAATTTACACAGAACTGTTGATTTTACATACAATATTTAAGCAAGTGCCCTAAAGTAAATAATAAAATTACCTAAAAGGAAAGGTAATCGCTTACTACACGTTTTCAGTTGAAAGGTAATTTAGTTAACTAATGTGTAACTAATTGCACCAAATACGTCAGAATAAACAGGCTGGAGCATCATAACTTGCAGATTTTGTAAATAAATACAGACGGGGGTGAAACAAAATGTGGCATTATATAGGAAGGCCATTACATAGTGCTGCGTTTAAAAGTGATATTTTTAGTTTGGTTCAGTCGTCTTAACAGCCCTCTCATCAATAGCACACAGAGATGGCCAATCAAATTAACGCAGGCAAGGTGGACCGCTCACTGAAGCCGAGGTAATTATTTTTATAATATTTTTGTCGTGTTCCTGCACTATTAAATCAAGTCATGTAGTTTTCCCGCATTACTTTTTTTTCTGTGGAGTACACAAGCTCTTCTCCACACTGTTGACCCTTCTGGTTTGCATACAATGGCAGCGACCAGATGCTGCCCAGCTCCAAAAAGGACCATTAAAGTAGTTCATAACATTCAGAAACTTTATTCCAGGTCTTCAGAGGAACTAAAGAAACTTTTAAGAAACAACTTTTTCCCCGAAGGTCGTCGAAGACCTCCATAGTTAGTCATGAATCCTGCAACGTGCCACTGGTTTTCTACTGTTTTTAGTCCACATCAATTCAAATTTGTAATTTTGAAATGTCTGTCATATAAATGTCTTTGTTATTTAGTGTAACTTATTTATACCTATATTTCGTAAAAACGTATTTAGGAAATAAGTGATCACGACGTTAATTTATTTTTTTTATTCTGACAAATTGGTAAAATCGTGGTTCAATGGCATTTTAGAAGTCGTCGTTTTCAGAAAATGTGTCACTTTTGTTTTTCCCTTAGCACTCGCCTCACAGCAAGAAGGTCGCTGGTTCGAGCCTCGGCTGGGTCAGTTGGCTTCGGCATTTCGGTGTGGAGTTTGCATGTTCTCCTCGTGTTCACGTGGGTTTCCTCTGGGTGCTCCGGTTTTTCCCACAAATTCAAAGACATGCGGTACAGGTGAATTGGGTAATCTAAACTGTCCGTAATGTAAGCGAGTGTGTGAATGGATGTGTATGGGTGTTTCCCAGTGGCTGGAAAGCCATACGCTGCATAAAATATAAGCTTGATTAGTTATTACGCTAGCTGTGGCGACCCCGGATTAATAAAGGGACTAAGCCGAAAAGACAATGAATGGATGAAGCTGGACACCTATTAATGTACTGGAGGAAACATAAATAAATTAAAGATGAACTATCGTTTTGATGCTTAAAGCCCATTGCTTTGTTTCTGACCCCACACAACTGAAGTAATTTATCATTAAAATGTTTGCGATTGTATAGCAAAACACAAAATTAGAAATTTTGAATAAAGTACAAATGTATGAGTATGAATTTTCATTTTGACATTCTGAACATAATGGATAACTTATGAATGTTTATAGCAGGTTATGAGAGTTTTGAATCACATGACTGAGCAAATGACCTTGTTGTGGGTAAGGCATTACAAGTAACGCGAGTTATATTACATAATATTTTCGGTAACACTTTATATTGATGATCCATTTGAGTATTAGTAAAGTGCCTAATATCTGTTGATACTGCTCAGTCAACAGACATTAAACTGACAATAAGAAACTTTTCAAGTACATGTCAATTTACTAAACCCCAAGCCCAACCTAACAATTACTTATTATTGGCACAATAGCCGGTTAGCAGTGTTGAGAGTAATGCGTTACAAAAAGTAATGTATTACAGCAGGGGTTTTCAAAGTGTGAGGCGCGCCTCCCCTGGGGGGCGCCAGAGCATGTCAGGGGAGGCGCGGGAAGCTCTCTCGGCTTCCTCTGCCCTCGTTCCTCCTTTTATGATCCAGAGCTTTTTCCGTGGGATCCGAGGCTGGTGCGCACGACACCGCAGCCGTTCCCACGGCTCTCGGCCACGCCCCCTCGCCACAAGCTTCAAGTTCAGGGCTTAAACCCAAAAGACGACGATATGATGATCAGTATTTGAGTTTAGGGTTTACGTGGACAGGACCAGCTGATGAACCACGACCTTTATGTGTGGTTTGTCAAAATATTTTGGCTAATGACAGCATGAGACCCACTAAACTTCGACTGTTTTGACTGGGATGGACAGTTCTTGGATCTGTTCTATTCATATTGAACCATCATCCTAGTTTTAAAAAAGTTATATTAAAATACTTGTTATTACTCTAAATAATTGCACTTTCATGCAAATGATGATAAAACAGTCTGACATCTGTCTGTGTCTTTATATATATATATATATATATATATATATATATATATATATATATATATATATATATATGTGTGTGTGTATGTGTGCGTGTGCGTGTGTGTGTGCGTGCGTGCGTGCGTGCGTGTTTGGGAGGAGGGGGGCGCCAATGGATAAGTTGTGTCTAAAGGGAGGCCTACTGTCTTAGACTTTGAAAAACCCTGTATTACAGTAACGTATTAGTGTTAGCGCGCCGACATATGGTGCAGTAGCACATCAGGGCGTCCTGAGTTCGAATCTCAGCTCAAGGACAATTCTTCATATTTAACATAGTCGTACATTTTGACATAGTCCTAAAAACAAAACAAAACAAACAAACAAAAAAAAAAACGATTAGTCTGTTGAATGTATGTGTAATCATGTTGAATCACACTCAATGAGAGAATGTGCTCCCTGTAAAAACAGACAAAAACCAAGATGGCAGAGCGTTACATTTTTGTGATGGACGTATTGTCAATATTTTAAACACATGGAAGAATAAGGGATTATAGTCTCAATAGACAGTGATTTCATTGAACTAATAAGACAAAAATACAAATGTAGCAAATGCATTGCTTTCAACTTTTTCGATTGATCTGTGTATATGGCTTGAATAGTGTCAGGAAATTCTCAGAAGGTAATATTACTCAATTTTTTTTATTATCATTTTTAAAGGTAAATGGAGGTGTGTATACAGCGTGTCATTAAATGCAGAGCTCTATTTAAAAAAAAAAAAAAATAAAATAAGTAAAATACCCTAAATTTCTGGAAGACATCTATTCTTAGGCAGGAACAACAACTGTAACTCATTACTTTCCATAAAAGTAATGAAGAAACACAACTAGTTGCTTATTCAGGGAGTAACTGAATATTGTAATGCATTACTTTCAAAAGTAACTTATACCAGCACTGTTATTAAGCACATTTAATCAGATTTTCTTCCTGCAAGTCAATCAAAGATAATGCACCCAAACGTTTGCGTGATCATTTTTATAAATGTCTTTTATTTTGTGATCCAGTATAAACAGATAACCTTGGAGGAAAAAGCCAAAGAAGTTTGTTGGAAAGCACTGCTTAGAGAAAGAGCGATCTGTCTATGACAGACACACCGATACACAAATCTTCAGAAATGGAGGACCGCATTTGTATCCTTTCGTCAAAAGTTCATCGGTTAGTACCTAATGAATGGAATGAACACATCCACATGCAGAGCCACGGTAAGCTAAGAAACGTCTAGTCTGTTTGTCAGATAAAAACCGAGATGAGTTCTGTAGGAAACTTTGATGTCTGTCCACTTAAATATAAATTATCTGGAATATACAAAAACGCATTTACATATACATTTGTTCTCACACAGTCTTAGATCTCCGTGTGTCCCTTTAAATGAACATTACACTTTTTTTTTTTATAATAGGCTCATTTTACAAGTTTACAGTTACTGAATCCATTCAGCCAATCTTCAGTTTTAGCTTAGCATAAATCATTGAATCGGATAAGAACATTAGCATCTTGGTCCAAAAAAAATTCAGTTTCAATAATTTTCCTATTTAAAGCTTGGCTTGGTAATATCACAACAGGTACAATGATATCACGCAGCACCTGAAAATAGTTCCCAGCAATTCTGGAACAGCTTCAGCAAGCTTCAGCAAAGAAACTGTTAAGCAAACTGAGGTATTAAACTTCACGTTGTAGAGTAGAGGTTCCAAGCGGTGAGAGATCATGGGTTTGAATCCAGAGTGATTCACCTATAGATGTTTTTAAATGCTCTGTTCTTGTACTGGTCTAGTTTTAACATTGGTCTGACATTCAAATGAACACTGTGAATAAATAGATCATGTTTTGGTCATAAAAATAACATTATTAAAATACATTGTCATAATTTCAGAGTATTTGTACAAGTCGGGATTCGAACACAAGTTATTTGCAGCAGAGTTACCGTGCACATGAATCGTCCACTAGAGACGCCAGGTCTCAAAACGCTTCTAAAATGACTGAAGCTTTGAATCGCTTTAGTCACGTGATCAGTGTAGCCAGACATAGCAGACTTTTTTTTTGCCCAAAAGCAGACCAAAACCGGATCATATCCAAACTCGGGTCTCTCACCCACAAACTGCACTTATTGTTGTGTAGATTACACTACCTTTTAGAGGGTTTTACCTTTGAAATATGGTATAAATTAGTCCCGTCTGGCGTTTTAAATTCTCTTGAACATAATTAGGTGTTGCTTGTCAATCAGGCAACACTTTTATGTATTTTCTTTCTGTCAATTGTGTAAAAACTGATTGGTTAAAGTGTCATAATAAAGCGCTGAGTTCAACTGCAGGTGCTTAACTGATGCACGTGCACATGGAGTCAGATTTTGATACGTTTCCTTCACCTCCTCTTGCCGGTCTGCTCAATGTTTTGAAACACTTGCGCTTTAGTATCTCAACGCTGTGTCGAAACGTTAGTTTCACATCAGCCATCTCTACTTAAAACTTAATTCTTCTGTTGTTACATTTTGTTTAAAGACTGCTATTTTTTAGATTGATTTGACTAGGAACTATACTCTCTTCCAGGTTTAATAATCAAGGAATTTTTTACTTAATAATATCACAACAGGCACCATAATATTACGCAGCACCTGGAAATAGTTCCCAGCTATGCAAGTTAACAGCACATTATAATATCATTGTGCCTGTTGCAGCCATGGTACATCAGCAAAGTTCCTTGATTGTTACGCCAGTATAAGAGTATAGTTCAAAAATAGCAACTTTTTAATTTCAGTCTTAGTACATGATGCAACTACAGACAAGTTTAGCATAAAACAGGAAAATTACCAAAACTCAAAACATTTTTTGAGAGAGATGCTAATGGTCTAATTCGATTCAATGATTTATGCTAAGCTAAGCTAAAAGTGCTGCCGTCAGACTCAGAGATCGGCTGAATGAATTCAAAAATGGTAAAAAAAAAAACAAAAAAAAACATCACTTTAACTCTAGCGAAGTTGTAAAACTTGATTGCCTATTTCAAAAAAAAAAAAAAAAAAGTGAAGTGTTCCTTTAAGCAGTACGTCTATTTGCACCTCAATAAATGACAAGCTACTTTCATCACACCATCCCACATGCCTTTTTAAAAAAAACGCAGAGCCCGCAGCCCCTACATTAGTAGAGGTCACACACGCACACACACACACACTGTATTGCCTTGAAACAATGAGAAACAGCATAGGGCTGTTATAATATGGAACATGGAAGCAATAAACTCGCACCAACTACCCAAAAACCCCAGCATCCTGTTTGACTAACCACTCACAGCACTGGCGTCCAGCACTTATCTAAGTAGGTAACGCTAAGAAATATGTATTAAGGCTTTTCTGAGGACCTGAGGATTCCAAAAAACACACAATGAGGCACACAAAAGGCAAAAAAGAGCTCTAGATGCGACACACAAACAGTGAAGCGGAAGATGACGGAAAAAAGAGACGGTCAACATGAACGCCTGGTGTCTTTTCCTGCTGACCAGAGAGGATGGAGGTGACAAAAATGCTAATGATCAGCATTCAGGAGTCCGCCTTGGCCTCGTAGCAGCATTCTCTCGGGTTTCTGGTCAGGTTTTTTTTTTCTATTTTTGTTTTTTAAAATGTTTTTCGCTTTCATCCAGACGTGATTTCAGTGCAAGTATTCCCGCGTCGTAAACAGTAAGAAGTCCTTGGAGATTCTTTGCTCGTTAAGTACATGTGACCCTCAGAGGAGCGTCGGCCTCAAATTATGATGATTAGTTGGTTTTCAGCCAAATATGTCTCGCTTTAAATGATTAAGTTTCAGACACTTGCATTCTCTTACAAAACATTGTACATGACATGCATCTAAAGCAGTTCCTACACACCCGGCGTACTGTAATAGGAACAGACAGACCGACTGGATCAAACAAACCAAAGAGAAACAAAAAAAAAGGTAAAAAGCTAAATATGTCTAACATACAAAAGAAGCATGTGACATATATTCCTCAAATTTTTTTTAAGCTGCTTTGGTAACATCAAATTCAATCCCATAATCCTTCGATCTCATTTTGAATTGGCTAGTGAACCACACAACCCGCTTTTTTTTTTTTTATCGCTTTTCTCTTCATCCTGGTATTATGGTTCACGTAGGTCCTCTGGTTTGTATGAATGGGTTTTCATCGATCTGTCTGAGTCACTTTTCTCAGAGTCTCCTTTGGAGGAAGACCGTGTGGCGTGAAGTCAGCGGCCCGCGCTGTGTTCTGTCATAAAGATGTGCGAGCTGTGAGAGACAGAGCTATTGTACTGAGAGCTGAGAGAGTGGACACACTGGAAGCAGAGCCGATGGCGTTGGGACCTGAAAGAGAACGAAATAAATGGAGGTAAAATGAAGCGCTAAAACAAACAAGAGCAAGATTTATCATGACAGTCTAAGATCTCAATTCCACAGAGTATCTGAAGCTTGACCCTTTTTTAACCTGTCCATTTCTCCACTACTTTCAGCGGGAGTCAAAATGCATTTCATTTAATAGTTTTTTTTTTTTACTGTAAACTTTGAATGCATTTAAACCGCCAAAAAAAAAAAAAAACAAACAAAAAAAAAAAAACAGATCGGACACTGAAAAAAGTTTAATTGGATTTACAAATAGTTTTAAAGGGCACTTTATTTTACGCCTTTTAAAATATGCAAGATAAGACTTTGGTGTTTTTAGAATGAGCCTGTAAAGTTTTAGCTCAAAATATACATTAGATTTTTTGTTTTAGCTTTCAGAATCTGCCCAGTTTGTTGTCTAACTACAATGTAGCTTTTTTCTGTAGCCTGTGGCCTCAAATGCAAATGAGCTGCTTCTCCCTGCCCCTCGTTTCCACATGTGTGTCTGCTTCTCCTGTGTTACGTCAGATAAACAGCAGTCAGTGATAGAGACAGACATGGATGAAGCTGAAATACAGCTCATTAGTCAAAAATACCAAGGAAGTTTATTTAATCTATTTGTGGTGGATTTTATTCAAGCCTTTCTGAAATGATGAGTCACACACAAATGCTGTTTGCAGTAGAACTGCATGATTCTGGCTAAATTTAGAATCGCAATTTTTTGCTTGAAATAAAGATCACGATTTTCTCACAATACAGTAGATGTAAAATAAAAGTTAATATGAGCCTGCTATTTTTATTGTTATTTCTCAAACATATGGTAACACAACAATATTAATATTATATGTAGGTCTAGTGGTTTCTATAAATAATTAGATTCTACTTATAATAATTCTGATGTTGGTTTGTTATGTTTGAGATATGCTTGCAATCTGTCATTGACAACATTATTAGACCATTTTATCCACTGCTAAAATCAAACATTGTTCATTATTAGATTACATTATATAGGCTAGAGTAGGTATATTGACACTGTAAACATTTATTTTCATGCACACCTTTGTGTTCGCTATCAAAGAAAAACATATTAAATGCTTGTCGTAATCATAACTCTAAATTGCGATAGGATTATTTAAATGTGTGCGTGCTTTCGGTTTCATTTTCACTGCTAAGTGCTGTTCATACTTCGTGCACGGCTCCCAAACGATCACTCTGTGCCACAAACTGAATGTTATTTACAACTTTATTACCTGTTATTCACAGCCTATGCAGGTTCTGTTCACTAAAGTAGACGCGCGCGTGTCTATCATTAAGTAGCACAGTCAGCAGCTCACGTCACATGTGATTTCGCGGCAGCGAATACATCATTACATGAGGACAAAAATGACATTTTTGGGCTAACTATACCTCATAAATACAGGATGTGACTCTTTTAACATCATTCGGAGGTGTCCATGTCATTGAGCAACATATGTTAAACAATGAGAAGACTTGTGCAGCCGCCTTTTCTTATCTCCTGAACTTGAAAATATGATTGGCAGAATCGTTGAAATGTATATATATATGTGTGTGTTTCCTGATACCATGCGGTCATGGTGATTATAGCGGTTAAGTATTACATATTGATTTTACTTTCTTTATTATAAACATGCTCTGTTTTAAAAACGTTTTATAAAAAGCACAGAGAGTTGATTTTAATCTCAGTTTATTTGAAAGTAAAAAAAACATTTCTGTGGACGTGTATAGATGTTAACATAGAAAATTGGTGCCTGTCAATCAATTTGGTGGAGAGGGTAAATCACAATGCCACGTCACGTTGCAGTGGGCCTCAAAATCACTGGGATTTGGGTCCTATTTTAATGTCAGGAAATTTAAAAAAAGAGACTTGTTGTGTTTCTATCACTCCAATATGACACTGGACATATTATACTTACACACAGTTCTGTCCAAACAGCTTGAAAAAAGCTTGAATCAACAAAAGTTGATTTTTATCATAGGTGCCCTTAAGATAACTGGTCGCAAAAAATTTATAGAGGCTGAACTTTAACAAACAAATTAAATTTAGTAATGTTTAACTTAATTTTTTTGTTTAAATTCAGCCCATATACATTGTTTGCAACCACTTAACTTAAAAAAATGAGTAAACACAATGAATAATTTATAGTGCATTTATTCACCTATAAGGCGAGTAACAAATTAATAGGGAAGGGTCTCAAAATCTGAACACTAGTGGTCACAAATAAAGCATTTAATTGTTAATCCCAGAAACAAATAGCAGCTGAAGTGAATCTAATTTAAAGTTCAAAAGATTAAAATTCTATATGTGAATTATGTGGATTCCATCAAGTTGTTAGAGCAGCCGACTGTTTGTACCCCAGAAAACCAACAAGGTAAGCATAATGGAGTGAGCTGCGTTTATTCAGCAAATGTGTATCCCTCTCCCATTATTATTCACATTTAAAAACCACCACCAGCAAATATGAAAATGTTTTTTAGTTCGAAGTTTGCCATTTACATCAATTGTTTCTCATGCGATACTGCCAATCTGCCAATTGGTTCTGCCAATGTTTAATCTAATCTATTAATTATTGTTTTGGCAAGTTATATGCATATTACATTTTGCAGGGAAATCACCACAATGAATGAAATTGAAAATATACTACACATTACAGATATTGTCATTATTTGGTGAGCAGCCATGTAATCAGCTGGATAATGTACAGTCTGCTGGTCATTACCTCAAAATAAACCCCTTTATATATACACCCTTTTATATAAAGCCCCTGATGCATACTGACCTCCCTGTTGAAATAATTTTGGATAATGAGTGTCTGATCTTACATTACTCTTTACATATTATATTTCTTAATATTTTTTTTATATAATATTTGTTTTCCTTTTAGAAACCAGTGAACTGGAAGTTACCGCACTCTTATTTCAGTTGGATGATGTATTTACAACTGAAAGTGAATATTGAGTAGGGGGCGGGGTTTTATTTTTGCACCTCTCCTCTCATTATTCGCTTGCATTTAACAGGAGGGGCGTGGCTAAAGATATTTCACTCAAACTGACATCATCAGAGAAGGGCTGTTGTTATAGTGTCAGCCAATGGTTAGATTTTGATGAGAGATTACTAAAACAAATACATTTTTTATTCATTAGATAAATTTCAGATGTGCGCTACCAGAATACACATGGTACATTTTGATTTCAAGTGGACTTTAAATACAATCTATGATAAATTAAATATGACAGCGAAGTATTTTCCACCTGATATTCTGGGAATGGTGATTTGTCGGCTGCTGCTGCCTTCTCCTCCCTCTCCGAACGGTTTGATCTGGATGATGTACTCCTCATCTGTGGGCAGGGAAAGCTCCACTGAGGTGGTGTTGGTCTCCATAACGTTGGGTCTGCTGAAGCGGTTCCTCCTGTACATGACCTACAAAACAATCACAGAATATTTTGAAACACTGATCTCCAGTTACATCATCTCTCAACTTCACGTCAGGTGGATACAAGACTTTTATTTTACAGTGTGTACATGGTGTGCACTTACCTCAGACAGTATTGGGTTATACAAGTAACTAGGTAAGGTTAGGTTCAGGGTAATGTTTAGGGATAGTACCTAGTTATAACTCAAATTATGTATGACTACTGAATAATCAGAACACTATGTACTTTTGAAAAAGAGCTAATCATATTTATATGCAGTACCTATTTATCTGTAATATGCAAAAAATGCATTTACATGTACATTTGATTTCACACAATTTTAGAGCTCTGTGTGTTCCTTTAAATTAATACTATTTTATTTTTAATTTTTGAGCAAAATGTTTTATGCTAAGCTAAGCTAAAAGTTACTCAAGTTTATGTAATGACTATAATGTATGATAAATATGATAAGTAAACAGTATACCGTATGTACATATAAAAAAAGCTCATAAACCTTTATATACTTGTAGAAATATTTTTTTAGATACTAGTGTCTATTAATAAATAATAATAAATACCTGTACTTATTTATTAGACATGCGTCCCTATTTAATCAAAACGTTTTATTTTGTCACACACCACTTTACTCACACTTTACTCATTGGACTGTCGGTTTTTATTCATTAGATTTGCAAAAATTAAACAGAGAGGTGTAATTAGATATTGATACACTTAATAATGCTAGTACTTATTGCTCAAGTGTCTATTAAATAGATACAGGAACAGTAGAAATGAGTCTTTAGTAGAAAATAATGGAAAATATCCATTATGTGCTAATATTATTTTTTAGACTATATGTGCCTTTTGCCATTGACAATCACACAGATGCAGTTTTTAATCTAGGTTAAAATGGCTCATTTGAATTCTGCCGAAAGCATTCAGAATATGTGTGCTACCCAAATAATAAGTCTTTGAGAACGGGTTTCTTAAGCCAGGTGGCGCATTAGACCAGGGGCTCATCTCCTGTTTCCAAAATGCATCACAAACTGCTTGAGAAACTTTTCTACAATGATAATTGGTGATGAAAATAAATGATGTCCAATAAGTTATACTTGTGTTTACGAACTTTTTATGAATTTTGAACTGTAGGCCTACATAAGGTCCAAACAGCAATTTTTGATCACCTTAATCTGACTAAAGTCAAAACTGAACTAAACAGAGATGGAATTAATTAATGTGGAGTATGCAGATATTAGTGGCATTAGTGAAGTAAACAACATGATTAGTAAACACCATCATGTAGGTCTTTTTGCCATATTTTCCACACACATTGGGGTCAGTAAAGGACCAGACACACAACGCAGAAGTTTTTTTTCTTTCCATTTGGCGTGCGTTATTAAACTCTATAACACTCTCACCAGTCCTTACTCCTTATTTGCATCTAATACCCCAGATTGTCACGGGGCCATGGATGAAATGTTCATGAGTTAAAGTAAAACTGCACAACTGCAGTTAAAGTCAGGCATCCTGCTTATTTGACTTAGAAGGGCACTTTTTTGTCAGACGGCTCATCGGTCAGGTATACATCCGCGCTAAAATATCAAGGTAAAAGTCATCATAGCTTGCGTAGAATAGATCCAGCTCCCAATCCAACTTTGAGAATAGATTAACGGCAATATTTTTTTTAATCGTGTGATAAGAGTCTTGCATTAATGCAGCACGTTAACACCGATAACGGCCCACCACTATAAAATATCAAAGTTTTTCATTTTCAGGAGTTTACTCGTAAACAGCAATGGCTTACGGAACATTTTGCAGTCCCTAAAAATAATGTTGTTAGTTAAATGTACAGGGTAAATGTATAAAAACTTCCCATTTTTGTCAGAAAACCTTAGATATGAGCACTACACATAACTAGATAATAGCACTTTATCATTAGATGCTAGATTTTCATTTATTAAATGTTACCCTGGAACACAAACATCTTTTTTTGTGTAAATTTATACATTATCCACAACCTGAATAAATAAGCTTTCCACCAAGGGATATTGGAAAATCTGAAATCTGACGGTTAAAAAAAGTTTGGATGAAATCACCTTTAAAGTTGTTAAATTAAGTTCTTAACAGTGCACATTACTACAATTGAGTTTTATATACAGTACATTTACTGTAAAAAATTTACAAAATACATAAAAATGTATCTTAATATTCTAAGGATTTTTGGCATTAAAAAAATCAATAATTTTGACCCATATAACATTTTGTTTCTTTGCTATTGCCAAAAAATACACATGCAACAAAGATTGGTGTTATGGTCTAGTGTAATGAAAGTCATACAGTCTCTATTAAACAGATATTATGACACATTACACATTCTAAATACAGAAAGAGTTTTACAAAGTCACTTGGCTTACCTTATATCCCATAACCTCGGATTCATTTTCCAGTGGCTTCACCTGTTCCCAGTTCAGGATAATTTTAGAGTTGGATGTATTCCACATGACTTTTGATGGCGGCTGGCTGGGAGCTGAATAAAAACACACACAATCAGACAATAATCTAATAAAACCTAATAACCATTAAACTTTTAGGCACACTTACGAGGCTTTTTGGTAGTAATGTTGACCACTGGACTCGGTGGGCCTGTTCCTGCTGTGTTGTAGGCTCTCACCGTTATATAATAAGTGCTACTTCCTTTTAAGCCCTGAATAATAGCCAGCGTTCGGTTTCCAACTGTCCTCAGAACGCTAGACGCATCTTCCTTCTCATTCTTCTCCCAGTATCTCAACTGTGGAGAAAAACAGAGAAGCACTCAGCATTAAACTTTCATAAACTTTATTGCGATATCATTTAAAAGCAGTGGAAAAAAGCGTTCGTTCATAATCTTCTGCAGCTCTGGTTACTCAAGCACTGGAGTGTGGCAGTATTGAAATGAATCTGTCGTATAGGCAAAATCATCGCATGCAGCGTTTGGGGAAACTGTCAGCTTGACGGATTCTGCTTTTCCCTCCCCGAGTCTCTGGACAGTCCCGGTCCAAGAGTCAGAGATGGATGATGCACAAACCTAATTTGTATTTTATTCCACAACTGTTAGCAAAGGACAAAAAAGGTCTCTGTGCATTACTTGATCCTTACTGATGATTTGGCTAAACAACTTACAAAAAATAAAAAATGACTAACAATAGTACACTCAAAATATCAATTTTCCTGCTTGTTCAAACTACTTAGTTTGAAGAACTCTTAAGTTGTTTTTGGGACAACCTAATCGTTTTATTTTGAATCCTCTAACAGTACATTTGTAAAAACGAAATAGAGATAACTTAATCAGTTTGTGTTGAAACAACATGAAGAAATAATGTGGAACCCAGCCTTTTTACAGTGTAACTTGAGTTCCACACTATTCAATTGTGTTGGGTAAACATTAAGGAATTAAGGTAACTCACTAGTTTTTGCAAATTTAAGTGGATTGAACATGAATAATTAAAAAAACCCTCAATAATTGTGTTGTTTTAGCTCAGTTTACATGAGTAGTTTGAACAAATAACAAACATAATTCTTTAGTGTGTACTGGGCTCCTATTAAAGGTGATTGTCTTCAGAAACATATTTTGTAGTTGAAAGTCTTTTCACATTCCAATAGTAATGATTAAATTAAATGATCTAAATGTGTTTATATGTATTTTTATATATTGGGTAAGGCATAAAACAAAAAAATGTTCATCCAATTAAATAAAGTCGGGCCGCCATCTCTCATAATTCCGATAAGTAGCTCAAACTGTCTGTCAGCAAATGCAGATTTGAACAACTGTGCAGCCGTTTGTACGCAGCTCCGCTGACAGATGTTTGTGCATAGACGTGCTGCGCATTCAAGCAAGAGAGAGAGAGGGAGAGAGAGCATGAGGGCGCGTGATCGGCAAACACATGCTGAATCAAAACTTTTTAAAAACCTCAATCAATATTGGAGTTACTTTTGCACACTAGAGAAAGTATGACACCATGGCTCAAGGATTTCTCTTGGTAATGTTCTGTTTTAAAACTATTTTAGCTTCACGCAAAGCTGATGTAACGTTAGATGTTGTTGTTACAAATGGGTTACATCTTCACAGAAGTGTTGTTTAGCCACTAAAATCTTCTGGTGAAAGATTGATAAGACTATTTTCAGTTCCATAAGGAACCTTTTACAGAAGGGCTATTCAATTGGCGGCTAGCGAGTCGAACCCGGCCCCCCGAGGCAAATTGTTCTGGCCCTTCAAACAGTGTGACCAAGACATCAAAAATAAATTTAGTTCAGTTGAAAAACGTCCGTTATTGTTATGAAGTTTTTTGCATTTTTGTTGGACAGAATGAAACGAAACTGCTGCAATTAAACTAGGTTATGCCAAGTTGCCAAGCCAACTGTGCGATAGTTTAAAGTTCCAAGTATGCACACCGAGGCTAATACGCACGTACATTGGAATAACTACAGCAGCGGCCGTTCCCATATTACGTCTTTTCAGCTTGCAAGTTTGTTATTTAATGTTATCTAATGTAAGAATATATGACAATATGCGCACACAAGCACTGTTTGCAGTTTCAAAATAAAATATATTAACATTTTAATGCAGAAAAAGCCAACGTGGGTCTCTTAAGGAGCAAAAATACAGCATATATTATGTTGTGTTATCATTCATATAGCAAGTCATATCTCTCCGGCCCTTCGTTTGGGATGCTTTTTATGAACCAGCCCCCATGACAAACTTATTTAATAGCCCTGTTTTACAGCATCGATAATGTAGATTTTAATTAGTTTAACAACAAAACACAAGTAAATACCGCTATTCCGCCTAGTCTCTCCCTATATTGTTTACCATGCAACTCTAAATATTCGCTTTGAAATAGCATGTCAGTTTGGCTTAGTAATGAGTGTAATTTCTGCACGCCGCCGTACAAGCACTAGTCGCTTTTAACAGAGGGTTCTTTTGCTGTCATCTTTAAGGTGCGCGTGTTCCTGTTTTAGGAGGCGTGGCTCTGGATGGCAGAGGAGGGACTGTGATTCAGAGATTTATGCTAAGCTGTTAGCATTGTGGAAATCACCTACTGCACCTTTAAGTATGTTACATAATATTATAACTGCTCATGTACACTACTGTTTATAAATTGTGAGTTTATAAGTGTTACTGTTTCTATGAAGTGGGGTTCATATTATTACACTCTCTGTAAAATAATCTGCTTAACTGTTCAGCACATTACTTCGGTCTACAGTGTCACGTGATTCTTCAGAAATGGTTGTAATGTGATGATTTGCTGGTGAGATTTTATTTTTTTTATCTTCATAAATGTTGAATATATTTGTGTTGAGAAACTATTAAAAGTTGTGTTTTTTTTGTGGAGATTAGTTTAGAAATACACCAAAAATGACAACAGAGGCTTTTTTTATTATTTTATTATTTTTTTTATTGTTACTTCAACTTATTTTATTAGTTAATAAGTTTAACTTCATATACATTAGTCATTGTAAGTTGAGATGACTAATTTAATTCAAGTCAACTGAAGAATTTAAAGCAGTAAGATGTTTTACAGTGTTTAACAAAAGTTTAAAATATGAAATAGAAATCTTAAAGGGAGAGTTCACCCAAAAATGAAATTTACACACCATTTACTCATCCTCAAGTTGTTCCTAACCTATTATGAGTTTCATTTTTCTGTCAACACAAAAAAAAGATATTTTGCAGAATGTAGTAAACCATGGGTGACCACTGACTTTTTAATAGGTAAAACAAAAACTATTGAAGTCAATGGTTACATGTTTTCAGTATTTCCAGAAAAAAGGAAATAAACCGGTTTGTGACTAATAGTAAGTAACTGATAGCAGAATAATTGTAAATGATAACAGAATAGCTGTTAAATGTCCCATTTATCCCTTAAATGTCATTATAGTCAGTATTGATCGGATTTAATATGTCTTTGTTGAATAAAAGTATTATAAAACACTTACAAACAAACTTGTATGTTGGCATATTTTGAAATGCATTTAAAATGTGTTTATACACATTTATATATGCAACCAACAATTTATAAATAAAAGTCTTCATTGATTATTTTTAATTCGTTTTTAAAATGAAACATTGTAAGCTATTAAGTGTTAATTTCACAAAATAATTGATTTAGGGGTAAATTAAATAGTTCAGTAATAAAAAACTATTAATTATATATTACCAGTTTTTAAGAAATTGTGAGTAATGCTGCCAAGTTCATTGAAGTATAATTGAAAGAAAAATGTTTAAAAATTGTATTAACTCTGACTCAACTTTAATTTCAGTTTTGAAAAAGAAATCTTAAGTAAACAAAATTATTAGTTTAATGAACAGAGAGTTCTTTTTTCTCTGCCTCAAAAAAAAAACAAACAAAAAAAAAACATTCCTCATCCTTACTCAAGCACTAAATTCTCTAAGCCCAAACAATTAATGTGTGTAATTATTACTTCTTGTGTGTATTAAATTGATGAATACCTCCACAATTGTAAGTCGCTTTGGACAAAAGCGCCTGCTAAATGACTAAATGTTAATGTAAAAGTGTATAATTTACCTCGTATCCGAGAACACGCTTTTTGCTGGTGCTCCAGGGCAGGGCTTTCCAGGACACCTCAACGTCAGACGCTGAAAGACTCTTGGCTCTGAGTCGACTGGGTGCTCGTCCAGGCTCTGAATCCCAAGAAGAAAATCTTCGATTAGACCTGTTTTTTTCAACAAACATCTTGAAAGTCTGACTTTTTGTTTTGGGAAAAAAAAAACCAAGGCTAGCCATGATTAATGGGCTCTGGCACAACACACTTCAGTTAACTTGGCTTCTATTAACTGCCTGCTAAGCGTCGCAGAGTGAAATGTCAAAAGGTACACTGGACTTTAATTTGTGTGTTGCTGCTGTTAATGCGACTGACCCTCCTCAGCAGAGTAGATGGTGATCACCGGTCCAAAAGGTCCTTCCCCCTTGTTATTGTACACCCCGACTTTGACTTGGAACGGAGAGAAGGGTAAGATGGTCTCGTTTTTGAACACGTATTTGGAGGCTTCAGGAGAGGGAACTGCCGCCTGCATCCACCCGGTGGAGCCAAAGGGCCGGAAAGCAACGACGTAACCAAAGCCTGCTCCATTCTGGAGCTCTTCAGGAACAGGCTGAAACACACATTACACACACACATTACACACATATAATATCCACAGTACAAATGATAGCCTTTATTATAACATCAAGTCTGATATATTATCTTTGAACAGTCTTTATATGGCATGAACCATGATAATGTTAAAATATTCATCAAACGTTATGGTTTGAAGGCTGTTCACAGCAGGGATGACATAGATAAAAATGCTTAATTTTTCCCACTTTTAATGCATGTATAATCTTTAATATCCTAGTTATTACAATTTATGCACATAGCACAATCAGTCTATCTTCTGTGTGAATTGTTATTAAAAAAAGAAATATAAATACATACAGTTGAAGTCAGAAATATGAGCCTTCCTTTAAATACATTTTTTCTTTTTTAAGTATTTCTCAAATGATGTTGAACAGAGCAAGGAAATTTTTGCAGTATGTCTTATATTATTTTTTCTTTTGAGGAAAGTCTTATTTTTTTATTTCGTCAAGAATAAAAGCAGTTTTAAATTTTTCAAAAAGCTTTTTAAGGTCAAAATCATTAGCCCTTTTAAGCTATATATATATATATTTTGAACTTCTACAGAACAAACCATCGTTATACAATAACTTGCCTAATTACCCTAACCTGCCTAGGTAACCTGATTCACCTAATTAAACCTTTAAATGTCCCTTTAAGCTGTGTAGAAGTGTCTTAAAAATATCTAGTAAAATATTATTTACTGTCATCATGGCAAAGATAAAATAAATCAGTTTTTTGAGATGAGCTATTAAAACTATTATGTTTAGAAATATGTTGAAAAAGTCTTATCTGTTAAACAGAAATTGGGGAAAAAAATAAACAGTAGGTCTAATAATTCAGGGTAGCTAATAATTCTGACTTCAATTGTAAATAAATGCATAAATTAATTAAACTAAACTAAAATAAAATGTATTATTAGGACCAACTTATGGTATTTGACTAGCAAAAAAATAAAATAAAAATTTCAAGGTCCTAAAGGTCAGCCTTTTAATTAAGGTATTATTAGTTATCCTTTTTTTAATAATAATAATAATTTTTAAAGTTTTGTTTTTGAGACTGCAAATGACATGAGAATAACACAATATATGTTTAAACCCTGATAACTTAAAACAGATCTCAAACAAATCAAAGCAAACATGAAAACGTATAAAAATAGATATTGTAATTTTATTAAAGGGCACCTATGATGAAAATCCTCTTTTGTAAGCTGTTTGGACAGAACTGTGTGTAGATATAGTGTGTCTACAGTCATATTGGGGGGTATAAAGACAATAAGTTTCTTTTTTAAAATGAACTGACGTTAAAATAGGAGCCAAAATCCCTCCCATTTTGAGTCCCACTGCAACGTGACGTAGGATTGTGGTTTCCCCGCCCACTGAATTGATTGACAGTAGTGTATTAACATGTCTCCGTTGTAACACGTATAATCATATCAACAAAACAGGAAGTGTGCAAAGCAACTGGGATTAAAAGATCTGTTGAGCTTTCTGTGATCATCAACCATCATCAAATGTGTTCAAGAATGAGTTTTACAAGTTTAAAAGGTTTTTTAAAAACAGAGCATGTTTGTAATTAATCACAGTGATTTACTTCATCCTTACTTCATCCCCACAGCCGCATGTCAGAATAAGTATAAAAGAAGACGCTTCAATCCCGATTTGTGGACAATAAATCAGGTTAATTTAGTAAATTAGCATAACAGATATCTATACAGTAGTGGATATTAAGGTGTATCTTGTCACATTTGCTGTGCAAAAACAGTGCAAAGTTAAACACGCGCGCTGTACGTGTCTGTGTGTGTGTGTGAACTTTGTAACGACATTGTGTATGACTCATCGTTGCAGAAAGGCTTGAATTAACTCCACAACAAATACATCAAATAATCATTGGGAAAGTTCTTAGTGTAGTATTTCTCACTAACATTAAGTCAGATCTGCTTCCTTCATGTCTTTCTGTTATCTGATGCAGCAGAGACGGAGATTGAGGCACACAGGCAACAAAAACGGCTACAGTGTGTTCAGAGCAAAGAAAGCCAACATTCTAAAAGGTATAATAAATAATCTGATGGGTGTTTTGAGCTGAAACTTTAAAGACACATTCTGGAGACAAAACACATCTCTTGAATCTTGAAAAAGGGGTAAAATTGGTGCCCTTTAATGTTCAGAAAATGTGACAGATTTATTCTTGCTGCTATGGTTTATCAATGCAAATTTGATACATTTTACAAATTATGTCTCATAATTATGTTAGATATGCTCTTTTGGATGTCAGTGGCTACTAGTGGTTTCAACATTCCTCAAAATATCTTCTGTTTCATTGGAGAAAAAAAAAAGAGTAACGACATTAGTTGCAACAATATTCATTTTTTAGTTGAACTCTCTCTTTAATGCTGGTGTCTCTGCTTAAACCCTTGGGTCTGTGATGTTTTGGCTCTCAGGCGACAGGCGTGTGACTTTGCTGACATCTGCCAGACATCAGACGGAGTGTTGACGTTAATCTCTGCAGTGCTATAGCTGTCACCCAGACCTCTTCAGCAGACAGGGATTCTCCATCTCCCAGAAAATCGCTTTGCCAGGTAATGATATCATGGTGGCTTTTTTTTGTTTGTTTGAAGTATCGGTCTGCCACTGACCATGCCATAATGCGGTGCGGTAACGCTGAGACCACCAGAAAATAGCATCCATTAGTCCGTGAGACTCCGAGGAGGAGGCGAGATGATGTTTTCACGCTCGCACACTTGGGCAGGAGAGCTTAATGGCTGAATAAAAATGCACCTGTAATCAAGCGCACGCTCCAGTGTCTGCTGTGAAAAGAACAATTGGCCACGGAGGGACCAAAACTAATAGGATGGGTGTCCAAAACCTTGGGATAGAACCTACACTGGCAGCTGCCTTCTAAGTTTGTCATAGGACTGAAATTAAAGCTCATATGTGGCTGATGTGGAGCAGAAGAGTTATTGCTGTTGACTGACAACGGATTTCAAGTCTAGTAGTGTAATTATCAAGCTAATGCAGTATATGAGATATTATATGTTTATTTTGTTTGATAGCAGTTTGAAGAGGTGTTTATTTTATTGTTTGTGTGTGTGTGTGAGTGTGATTTGAACTACAGAAATGTAATCATACTTAATTTGAAATATAGTTGAAGGCAAAATTTTTAGCCCTCCTCTGAAATAAGCTTCCTCTATTCAGCCTTTTTATTTTACCTTTACTCTTTACTTTACTCCTTTACTTTCGTTGAGTAAGGAAAGGGTGAAAACTCACTCCACTGAAGACATCCATTAGCCTACATATTTAATTAAATTTGTTAAGTGCAAAGATTTGTTTCAAAACTATTTCTAAATTCAGTTCTAATTTCCAGCAAACAAATAAATAAACAATAATAATGATGTGGTCAATAATAATAGTGTTGTCAAAAAAACAAATATATAAAATTTAAAGAAAACATATCCAAACACACATCCTATTCTTATGCCCTATGGTAATATAGATGTCTCCAAAACCCGACATGTGGACAAATCTAAACTTTTTTTTTATTAAAACAAATAAAAATATGCTTAATATTATAAATAATAATAACATTATACAAATAAAAATTGTCATGAATAATCTGAAAAAAGCCCCTCGACATGAAGAAATCATGGAGGCAGTGGTTTTTATATTTATGTAGAAAATAGTGCTGTATATCCTGTGTGTAAGTTTGGACGTGCACAGGTGCATCACTAATGCGCTCTATGCTGGACTTTAGACCAGCTTTTAGCTGGTCAACAACGCAATCTATACAATATGCCAACAATACGCCTTAACACACCTCTTTTTTAGACCGGAACACCCATAAAGTGGCTCAGATGGATTTGTTAATTAGACAACATGGTGCAAAACATGAAAATTAGAGTTGCGCTGGTCTGAAAATAGCAACAAATCCCGCCAAACACGTCTTGCGGCTTATTGCATCGGGTGTATAATAGGGCCCTAAAAGATTGTTCACAGAAATAGCGATACTGCATTTTAATAGAAAGTAGACTGAAGCTGTTTCCTAACTTTACATGATAAATTCTCTCCAACACAGATCTGAATGCCCACTGTGAGGTTGAATAAACATGTGAGATTGAGATCATGATCTTTTTAACGATTAATCGCACAGCTCTATTTATTAGTTCTACGCTTGAGAAAAGATTCAAATACACTAGATTTTGTACAGTAAAACCCACCAGCACTTCTAGCATCTGAAGAACGCGGTGGTGGATCTGAAGTAGAAGAAGACATGAGATTCTTTCCAATAAAAGATTTCGAGTTCTGTGCCATTCGTCATTTTTTTTTTATTTCAAAGACAACACAATGAGAGTCTCAGACTGAAGTTTCCAGTTCCCTGTGACAAACTTCCACCTCGATAGATAATAACACCAGCTGACTCTCAAACCTGAACAATAGCACTCGTCTCATGAAAGCAGATACAGCGAGAGAGAACATCATCTTTGAAAAGTTCCTCGGCAAAAATTCGAGGGTAACTCCATTTAATTATCTCTGCTGCTTCTCCTGTATGACAGCGGCAGTTATTGCCACGCAGCTCTTACAGAAAATGAAGTGTTATGTGTATCCGCTTTACCATGATTAATGAAAACCTCACATAAAGGGAACAATGGTGTCTAGCCAGCTTGCAAAAGGAGACTGTGTACAAAAGACTCGGTAAGGGAGAGAAACACACACACACACACACACACGCACACACACACACACTGGCCATCTTACCTCCCAAGTGATGACTAACTCTGATCGACTGCCACCTCCTCCGCTCACGTTGGCTGGCGTGACCTTGGGAACTGGAGGAAGGAAAAGATTTACTCAGCTCTGGTCATTGAAGACTGCTGTTCTGACGTAGGATTTGACGATTCAACGATGTTTGATCTAAAGAAGGTTTTATTGCATGTGTATTTTTAGATGCTGCTCATTGTTTCCTTTTGAACTGTTTACTTGTGTTATTTAAATGTTTAACTGTTGATTTTTTCTTCATTTTCAAATATTTTCTTAGTGATGTTTAACAGAGCAAAAGGAAAGCTTCATAGTATTTCCTATAATATATATATTTTTACCATCTGGAAATGTCATTTCTTTATTAAAAGCATCTATAAAAGCATTTAATTATTTTTTGAATACTTTTTAGGTCAATAGTATTTGCCCCCTTAAGAAATATGTTTATTTTATATGATATAATATGTTAGAACAGTTGTTGTCCAATGATGTGCCTAATTAACCTAACTTGCCTAGTTAACCTAATTACACATCTAAATGGCACTTTAAGCCAAATATGAATATCTAACAAGTAAAATAATAATTATGAGTAAGTATGAGTAAAATATTATTACTGTCATCATGACAAAGACAAAAAATTCTGTTATTAAAATAGTTTGTAAAGTTGTTGAAAACAATTTCAAGTCTTTGTAATTCTGCACTTGGGCTTTTTCTTTTTTAAATAATTAGACCTTCAGAGAAGGACCAGAATTGAGTTCTGGTGTCTGTGGAGGCCATTTGAGTACAGTGAACTCATTGTCATGTTGAAGAAACCAGTCTGAAATGATTCGTGCTTTATGACATGACACGTTATCCAGCTGGAAATAGCCATCAGAAGATGGGTACACTTTGGTCATAGAGGGATGGAAATTGTCAGCAGCAATACTCAGGTAGGCTGTGGCATTGGCACAATGCTCAATTGGTACTAATGAGCCCAAAGTGTGCCAAGAAAATATCCCCCACTCTTTTACACCCCCACCAGCCTCAACCATTGATACAAGGCAGGATGGATCCATGCTTTCGTGTTGGTGACACCAAATTCTGACCCTATCATCTGAATGTCACAGCAGAGACCGAGACTCGTCAGACCAGACAACATTTTTCCAATCTTCTATTGTCCGATTTTTGTGAGCCTGTGTGAATTATAGCCTCAGTTTCCTGTTCTTAGCTGACAGCAGTGGCACCCAACGTGGTCTTCTGCTGCTGTAGCCCATCCGCCTCAATGTTTGAATTGTTGTGCATTCAGAGATGCTCTTCTGTATGCCTCAATTGTAACGAGTAATTATTTGAGTTACTGTTGCCTTTCTATCAGCTCAAACCAGTCTGGCTATTCTTCTCTGACCTCTGGCATCAACAAAACATTTGCGCCCACAAAACTTGGTTGTGTGTGAAACATATATATATATATATATAAGAAGTGTATATTAGTATATACACACTCTACAAAAACTATTGTCAAGACAACCAATATTTTTATGTGGCTTTAACTTAATTTAATAAGTTAATCAGGTTTCAATTTTTTTAAAAGTAATATATATATATATATATATATATATATATATATATATATATATATATATATATATATATATATATATATATATATATGGATTGGATATATGGATATATATGGATTGACGTAAGTTGAGATGACAAGAAAAGTTATTTGAAAATATTTATATTGCAATAATATTTAGCATTTTACTATGATTTTATATTTATTTTTTAAGGGTTTCTCACCTCTTATTTTGATAGAATACTAGAGGACAGGTAGGAAAGCATTGGGAGCAGAGAGAGGGGAAGGATCGGCATTGGACCTTGAGGTGAGAATCGAACACAGGTCAACAAGAAGACCATGGTACTATGTTGGCGCACTTAACCATTGGGCTATTGGCATTGTTTGCTATTTTTTATTTTCACTATTTTTTTTTTATTTAAAGATTTATTTTTTGACATTTTTGCTTTTATTTGTCAGGGCATTAGGTTGAGAGGAAGTGAAGTTTCAGAGAGAAGGAGTTAGGATTGGGAAAGGTCGATGAGCCAGGATTCGAACTCTGCTTCCGCATCATTTGTTGGTGCGCTAACCACTGCACTGACATTTTTCACTAGTATTTCAAATTATTTTCAGATAGTTCAAATACTTAATTTAGTCCATTAATCATTTCATTTATTTTAGTACATAGAACAGCATGCATAACAGCACTTCTCAATAAATGTGAGTGCCCATGCAAAATGAGCTCACGATGTTGCTAAAGTGCATTCAGCTACGCTCTCATCAGGGTGTTTGCTTACAGGCTGAAGTCAAAAGTGGCCTCCTTTAAATCTGGTCGGTTCGTCAAAGACCATCAAAAAAGATAACGCCACACACTGCAGGATGCTAATTGAAAGAGCCTCCTGCAGACTATGGCTTGTGTCTTTTCCTCACCTGTGTCTTTGGTCCGGGCTTTCTTGGAGGGTTTGCTGGGCTCTCCTGTGCCCACTGCATTGCTTGCCAACACTCTGAACTCGTACTCCACCCAGGGGTTGAGCTCAATTACTGTAGCAGTGAGATGTGAGCCCCCCACCACCTCTGGCACTGGAACAAAGCAAAACACACACATACTGTGAGACGAAGCCCCCCGTGAGCCTGCGAAGCCCCCCCGCTCACACACACAAAACAAGACGCACAGCGGCGCTTTCTTCAGCTCACTGAGATAACAGAATCCAGAGGTAAGACACAAAAAAACAAGCTTATCGACAGGTGCTGTGAAAGCAGAGATAAAAATAACAGCCTACAGTTCAAATTATACTGTACAATCTAGAGTAAAGGGGTCACGAGATGTATTGCAGCTTATTTATGATATATTGTGTTATATTGTATTACACAGATGGTGTTTTTGTTTGATCAGAGTGTACAATAACAAAATAAAATGTATAAATTTGATTTTGTCAATCTTTCCGTCAGTCATGCCATCTATTTATCTATTTGACAGTCTATCAGTCTGTCTGTCCATCCATTCTTTATCCATCCATCCATCCATCCATCCATCCAATCATCCCTCCACTCATCCATCCATCCTTCTGTTTGACTTACCATCCATCTGTCTGTCCATCATTGTTTATCAATCCATCATCTATCTATTTGACTGTCAATCCATCTGTCCATCCATCTATTGTTTATCATCCATCCATCTGATTCACTGTCCATCCATCTGTTTGTCCATCCATTGTTTATCCATCCATCCATCCATCCATCCATCCATCCATCCATCCATCCATCCATCCATCGTTTATCCCTCCTTCTTTACCTCCATCCATCTATCTCTGCGTCATTCAACTTATCCAATCGTTCATCCATCCACCTGTTCATCCATCCACCCGTTTATTCATCCATCCATCTGGCAGTCTATCCATCCATCCATCTGACAGTCCATCTATCTGTCCATCGATTCATCCCTCCATCTGTCCATTGCTAATGCCTAACTCAATCAATCAATCAATCAATCAATCAATCAATCAATCAATCAATCAATCAATCAATCAATCAATCAATCAATCAATTAATAAATTATCCATATATTTTTTACAATCCATCCATCCATCCATCCATCCATCCATTGTTTATCCTTCTCTCCCTCCATCCATCTCTTCATGAATCAATCTTTCCTCTCATTCATTAATCCATCCATCCATCCATCCATCCATCTATCCATCCATGTAGTCTGTAAAGATTTAAAAATAACGCAATAGGAAAATGATGATGGTCATGATGATGATTATATTGATTAATTTTCACACCTTTAAAACTCAGCAATGTTATTGTACTTCTGTGATGCTATAAGACATTCTTGGCAGCCCAAGGATACCCTTCACTATCATCGTTCAACATTTTACTATATAAAAATCTCCTTTCAGATGGCTGCTTCAAAATACAAACTGCCGTTCCCCAATACCAGCTTATTCCCATTGCCAATTTAGCAAGACATAAAAAAATAAAATAAAAATAAAAACAAGCAAATAAAGCACAAGATGAAAATCTCAGTGTTATATTATGAGAGGCAAAAAACACAGGGACAGAAAAAAAGGAAAGTATGCAGCAAATGTTTTGATCAGTAAAAGCTGGTTAGAAGCCCCACCTGTGCTAACAGCTTGCCAGCCGAGGGAGAAAGGGGTTCTAGCCTGGATGGTGTAGGCAGTAATTGGACTGTGATTATCAGGACCAGGCCTCCAGGAGAGAGTGGCAGTGGTATCTGTGATTTCTTCCACATGGATGCTGGTAGGGGGGCCGGGGGGACCTGAGACACAAGACAGCCATGCAAACCAGAAACATACACACACACACAAGAACACACACACATGCTGTCACGCTTGTAGGCTGCATATAAACTGCCGCTTAAAGCACATCGGTGCAGCTGGTTAAGTTCGAGCTACACGTTTTCACTGACTTAAAAGCTCTAATTAGATTATGTCCCATTTTTTATGGCTACGTTTTGCAGCAAAAACCAGCACATCTTTCCTCCATTTGGTAAATATTTACAATGCTTCAAGGGCTTGTTTAACAGTCTGCGAGTGAGGTAGTTTTCATGATAGATATTTATTATTCAGGGATGCACACAAGTGGTGCAGAGATGTGCATGTGATACTAAAATAAGAAATGCGCTGGGTACTGTAAGGTAGTTCAGATGAATTGGCCCGTTCGTGTGCTGACTGACAGTTGTTAATATACTAGCAGCGTTTTTTAAAGATGCCCATCTGAACTGAAAGCATAGATCTAGGCTAAAGGCTGTACAAACAAGAAACTGTGAATGTAGCATATATATATATATATAGGTGTACCTAATTAAGTGGCCTGTATATATATATATATATATATATATATATATATATATATATACAGGCCACTTAATTAGGTACACCTGTTCATCTACTTGTTAACGCAAATGTATAATCGGTCAATCACATGGCAGCAACTCAATGCATTTAGGCATGTAGACAATCTCCCTTGGAGGTCAAATTGAGCATCAGAATGGGGAAGAAAGCTGATTTAAGTCACTTTGAATGTGGCATGTTGGTGCCAGAAGGGCTGGTCTGAGTATTTCAGAAACTGCTAATTTACCTGGATTTTCACACACTACTCCAGGGTTTATAGAGAATGGTCTGAAAAAGAGAAAATATCCAGGGAGCTTGGAGGAGAATGGCCCGACTGTTTTGAGCTGACAGAAAGGCAACAGTAAATCAAATAAGCACTCGTTACAACCGAGAATGCAGAAGAGCATCTCTGAACGCACAACATGTCCAACCTTGAGGCAGATGTGCTACAGCAGCAGAAGACCATCAAATTTGGCTGGATGTGCCGCCGACAAATCTGCAGCAACTGCGTGATGCTATCATATCAATATAGATCAAAATCTCTAAGGAATATTTCTAGTACCTATGCCACAAAGTATTTAGGCAGTTCTGAAGGCAAAAAGGGTTCCAACCTGGTACTATTAAGGTGTTTCTTATAAAGTTGTCGGTGAGAATACATGGTGATAATAGTGTTATTTTTACGTGAAATAGAAACAATTCTACTTTTATTTCATAGTAGCTTTATTTAAAATATTGTAATTTTATTTAAAAAAATAATAAATCAAAGTCAATTTCAAAGTACAAAGCTATAATGTATATATGTCCATGTGTTGTAGCTTTTACAGTAGGATTACCTCTGACAATCAGGTCAGTTGCGATGGAGCTGCTGTCCACCTTGGTCTGCACTGCACACGTGTATTTCCCAGCATGCCTCAGCTGAATGTTGCGGATCATGATGTCACCTGCTGAGTGTTGCTAAAAAAAAGAGAGATCAAAGACACGGTAAGAGGCAGAGGAAGGAGATTCCGTTTTTGTTTAATTGTATTTATATATTTGACATTTTGTTGGTTAAAAACTGCATGTATTATTGCTGTTAAAACGAATGTGCTAAAATATGTTATTTGAGATACATTTCACAGTCTTAATGTTCAACTAATTGATGTGCAATTTGATTACACTTTCTTTTTCTTTTATTTTGTTTTCTTTTTCCTTTTTTGCAGCTGCCAGAGAACATGCAATTTCCTAAATAAAATCATCACTGCTTAATCCTAATAGGAGTAATGGCAACACAGGCTCATTGGAAATACATGTCTCAACCTACATTTAAAAAAAAAGTAAAATACGTTGCTCCGGGTACGTTTTAATGCACGTTTCAGATGGCAAATCCAGTAGAGGGTGCATGGGCTGCATTTACACTGATCTTGATTGCAAATTCCAGTTTTGTTACCGTCTCCAAATTTGTTGATGATTCGCTTACATCTTCTTTAAAAAAGTGACTCAATGTCTACATTTACACACAATGACCTGGAATAAAAAAAAGTGGTCGCTGACTAATAAGAGTGCTCTTTTCTCCATTCCTGTATTTAGGCCCAATTCTAATTCTACCCCTTAGCCCTTTCATTTACCCGCAGATTCACATGAAGGGGTAAATGTGCTCTTCAGCTTGAAGGCGTAGGGCTAAGGGAAAGGGCTAGATACCCCATCAAACTGAGATTTTTTAGGACCACACTCGAAACCAAGGGGTACGAAAATTTTCCATAATATACCAGCAACAACGGCAGCATAGCTGCACACGGAAGGAGATCCACAAATTAGTATTTTTTGTCATTATTATACATTTTTACAACAAATAAGCACATATTTTAATACACTCATAATCGCGTTCCTGTTTTACTGTCAAAATAAAAAATGTAAATAAATAAATAAATAAAGTAATTCGCAAAAATAAAAACAGCTAAATTTTGCTATCTATAATCCATATTAACAACTCCTGCATAGTAGTCCCACAACACACTTTCACATCTGTCACTCGATGGCACTCGAATACTCCAAGTCTAGTGGCTGGGACTGAGTTTTTTATAGTGTCTGCTATAATTTTAATGTTGTTTTTGTGTGTTTACATAGATGAATATGGCTACGGTGTAAATGCACAGTACAGTTACAAGCTTATTGTCACATTAGATTGTTATGATAGCATGATATTGTTGCCTTCAGGGATTTCCTAAAGATAAACACCAAAAAAATAATTCAACTGGAATAACCACTGCAGTCGTAATCGTCGATCTCAAATGAAGAGATCGCAATGACATATGATGATGTGTTCAGGTGCTGTAATTCTGTCACGTTTCTTACAGGTAGAATTGTGATTGAACATTAACCTGTCCATGTGGTGTGATTTATGCAGTTTTACCAAACTAACCATTTGGTCAAATAGAGTATGCAATTGTTTTATATTAGTTTATATTTTTTACACAGAAAATTTTGTTCTCGCGCTCACTCTCGTTAACATGCTTAAATGCATTAACTGGTGCTACATCAAAATAAAAAAGTTTTTTTTTGTTCTTGTACATGAGATTTAAGGTTCAGGACTCTGTTCCAAAAAGAAAGAGTCTGAGTTTACTTAATTCAATTCTGTTTTTAATATTGTGTGACTCGCATTGACAGGTGAAGATCTGATATACCTGCTTACACTGCAGACACGCGGGTACATATCCGATTCATATAGGATTCATTTCCACATATGAACAAGCCCTGAATCTGATCTGAGTAAATCTGAATACATGTGACTTTTTTTTTTTCTGCTTACATGTTGGAAATCAGAGTTGAGTCACTTTATCCATCTAACCGGCAATATTAGTCTGTGACATTCAAGGAGGTGGAGGTACCAAAGTTGAGCACTGGGGGTGGAAAATGTTAAGTAGGATTACAAGTCGACTGGGAGGTTAAGGGTGGAGAGTGCAGTTTCATACAAATAATGGTAGTTTTTTAATAGAAATTATTAAACGGCAGGGTGTTGGGAGATGGGTGTGAAATACAGGAGACTGTCTGGAAAAACGGGTGTTGACAGGTAAGTGAACCATGCAGTGTAAATGCAGCCATAGGGGCCGATCACAGCGAACATGGATTTATGGATTTATGTTCCCAAAACGAGAGGCGCACCACACTGCCTTTTTTGTTGACAAGAAATGATGTCGCTATAGGCAATGACTGAATCAGCTGTGTATTGTGCGAGACTGTTGCTGTTTATATAAATATAATTTTAATATTTTATGAAATTGTAACATTCAAGATTTGTGAAGTCATACAGCTCCGGATAACTCAAAACAGCAACCACAAGTCTGTCCTCCATCTTCAAAAGTCTCCGTAGTTGTCTTGACAAGACAAACACTGCAGGCGCCTCAACGGAAACCCCACCTCTGCTTTCAGTTGACTGGAGAATGAAAAAGACATGAGTGACGTATCGTGCTTTTTTCACTTTTAAGAGTTGATTTTTTCAATTGCAAGCGCACCGCGCACAAGGGCTAAAAATGCAAGTTGCAGCAGGCAGGTTAAAATGTGAGGCGCGCATAAGCAGCGCGCAATACGTTAGCAGCCATTATCATTTAAAAAAAGGCACCTCTCAACGCAAAAAAATGCCTTCGGTGTGATCAGCCCCTTACGGTATATTTTCACAAAAATGTCCTCTAGTGGATTTGTCTAAAACATGCATTGAAACATCCCCGGTGCAGCTTATTTGAAGTTCTGCAAAAATGTAGTCTGGGTGGCACGGTGGCTCAGTGGTTAGCACTGTTGCCTTGAAGTAAGAAGGTTGCTGGTTCAAGTCCTGGTTGGGCCCGTTGGCATATTTATGTGGACTCTGCATGCTCCCCCCATGTTGGAGTGGGTTTCCTCTGGGTGCTCCGGTTTGCCCCTCAGTTCAAAGACATGCGGTATAGGTAAATTGAATAAATTTGGCCGTAGTGTATGAGTGTGTGTGTGTGTGTGTGTGTGTGTGTGTGTGTGTGTGTGTGTGTGTGTGTGTGTGTGTGTGAATAAGCGTGTATGGGTGTTGCGGCTGGAAGGGCGTCCACTATGTAATACATATGCAGGAATAGTTGGCGGTTCATTCCGCTGTGGCAACCTCTGAAATAGAGGGAGGAAAATGAATGACTGAATGAAAAACATCTGACCAATGTATATGTCTAATGAGCCTAGGTTTCTATTATAATTTTTAACAATATTCAAGAGATTTCATCTATAGTGCTCTCTGTCTAGTCAGAATAAGATACAAAGTGTACCAGAATTTATGGCAAATCAAAAATCTGAATGTTTGGACTATTTTGATAGCTGTCTTTGTGAATAATTTACTTGATTTAAGCAAAGGTCAGATGTAGAATTAATCACTTGAATAACAGATCTTCCCTATATAGGGCATATACTTTCCCTGCACTCCTCACTCAAAGTGCCGCTATTAGGACACATCACTCATATTAAATCATAGTAATCATATTAAATAATATAAGCGTGGCAGTTTTTTGCACTTAAAATAGAGCAATTCCATCTTGAGCGCTTGTTTCTTTGGTGATGGGGCGCCTACGGATGACATGATGAACTAGACGAAGAGAAAAGCGATCAGCCCTTCAACCCCCCAAAGAAGGAAAGGGGAAAAAAAAAATATCATGAACTTTTAATGAAAAGAAAAGGAACGCATGTGACTGTACAAGTGCTGTAATTCATATCACTGAGTGGGAAGCTTAATTATACTCTAGATTAATACAGAACGGGCTGTCAGTGTCTGCACACATAATGGGAAAATCTCTTATCATAAATTCACAAACTCAAAACTGTGGAATTTAATGAAAGAATTAATGTGATTTTTTCCCCCTCCTTGATAATTCAGTTGAAAGCACTCAATATGAATACCTAAAGTACAATATGTTAACAATTATTGTTTATATACAGTTGTAGTCAGAATTATTAGCCCCCTTTTGATTTTATTTTATTTTTTTTAATATTTCCCAAATGATTTTTAACGGAGCAAGGAAATTTTCACAGCATGTCTGATAATATTTTTTCTTCTGGAGAAAGTCTTATTTGTTTTATTTCGGCTAGAATAAAAGCAGTTATTAATTTTTTTAAAACCAATTTTGGGACAAACTTATTAGCCCCTTTAAGCTAATTTTTTTTCGATAGTCTACAGAACAAACCATCGTTATACAATAACTTGCCTAATTACCCTAACCTGCCTAGTTCACCTTATTAACCTAGTTAAGCCTTTAAATGTCATTTTAAGCTGTATAGAAGTGTCTTGAAAAATATCTAGTAAAATATTATTTACTGTTATCATGTCAAAGATAAAATAAATCCGTTTTTAGAAATAAGTTTTTAAAACTATTATGCTTAGAAATGTGCTGAAACAATCTTCCCTCCATTAAACAGAAATTGGTAAAAAAAATAAACAGGGGCTCTAATAATTCAGGGGGGCTAATTATTCTGACTTCAACTGTACATTAGCATTTGGGTCGAAGACGAGGGAGTGTTAAGTACCAGAACTATATAAGTGTGAAACGTATGAAGTGTGAAGCATTTATATCTTTTTCTCCTGAACATTAGAATTTTTTCTTCATGACTACTATTGTTTACAGAATACACACACTAAACCAACATTATTATTATTATTATTATAAGAATTAAATACCACAATAATGTAAAATAATACTAATGCAATTTTGTTTTATTCTTTATTCTTTATCCGTTTGTTAAGTGTGACGTCATGCGAAGTGGCTTCCGGGCCAAACACTATATCAAACTATATGTGGAGACTCATAAAATAGTAATAATAAACATTTACAAAGTGATATAATACTTCTGAAAATTGTGATCGCAATATATATATCCATGCCTAAAATCAGATGGCCAGAAAATGATTAATTGTTTAGAAATTGTCAAAATGTTGGTGTCTGTGTTGCAGCAAGTCTAGAGACTGTTGTGTACAGTAAGATTTGATATAAAATTTACTTTAATCTGTGATATCCCTAAAAGTGGTCATAAAATAATATTTTCTCAATTCAAAAGAGTAGCAGCTTGGACCTGGAAACAGTATTTAATACGTAACCGATTCGTCACGACTTAACAAGCTAATATATTTAAAGCAGCTTTAAACATGGAGCTCATGGTTTTTTCATGTTTAATATGTGAAGTTTATTTATAAACTAATTTTGAGAGGAGCACGTGCTTATGATTGACCACAGCTGGTCACGCATTAGCTAACGCATGATTCACCAATCGGATGATTCCTAACTCACTACAAATAACCACAGTTGATTACTTCAGTATATCTTCACCTTGAAGAATCCCCCTTCCACCCTTGGGGGGCTAATAATTCAGGAGGGCTAATAATTCTGACATCATCTGTATATAAATTCAAAACTATTCACTTTATCATGCCCTTATACTGCCACTGAATGAGATATTTGTAGTTATTTTGTTCTTACTCCGCCAACTTTTTCGAAGTATCCTCCATGGCTGCCGAAGTGAATGAGCTGCTCGTTGAAGAACCAGGTAAACTTCAGCTCCAGCGAGGGGTCGTATGACACCTGACATGGAAGAATGATGCTTTCGCCGACCGTCACGTCCAGTGTGTTTGGAGCTGTGGTAATGATTGTTGGCTCTGAAAAACAAATTTCACAACCTTTTTTAAAACACATACTGGAATTTGTTCAGTAAAAGTGTTTCCATAGTTTATACGCATCTTTTCTTACCGAATAAAGTTTGTCTGATTCAGTTATGCACATATGTTTTTTTATAAACATTTTTGAAAATTGATGCGCATCTTGGCGTTTTCTTATCCACACTTTCAAAATGCGAATAAAAATAGGTGGTTGGAAACGTATAGCTACTGTTACACTTTATTGAGATTTATTGGCGTTTTTTTGTTTATTCAAGCTTTCGATTTGTGTTAAGGAAACTGTGGGAAACCAACAAATTTGAATGTTGAACTTTAAATTTGAACAAAGTGATCGTATTGACATTTTTAGTAGTTTGAAATTATTTATTAAGTTGGTCTCGTAAAATACAGTAAAATATTGGGATTTATTTTCTCAATTGACCAAAAACACTTTTTTGTGAAAATGTTCAACATGAAAAGTTGTTGAAGAATATATCATACCGTAAAAACATTCCTGATTCACAATCTATGGGATCTATTTCTCAATCAATCTATTTTACCATTTAAAATTTGATAGTCAGGAGGTCAGATTAAATTTTTATATTCATTTAATATCAACACTTTTATTCAGCAAACATGTCCTTAACTAACCAAAAGTGACAGGAAAATTTTTTTATAGTGGTATTTATTATTTATATTTTTAATAGTCATTCAAAATTGAAAAGAGTGGCACGGTGGCTCAGTGATTAGCACTTTTGCCTCACAGCAAAAAGGTCAATGATTCAAGCCCCAGCTGGCTCGCTGTGTTCGCGTGGGTTTCCTCCGGGTGCTCCGGTTTTCCCTACAGTCCAAAAACATGGACTATAGGTGAATTGAATAAACTAAATTGGCCTTAGTGTAGGCCTATGTGTGAATATGAGAGTGTAAAACGTGCTGGATAAGCTTGGGGTTCATTCCGCTCTGACGACCCCTGATAAATAAAGGGACAAAGCTGAAGGACAATGAATGAATGAATGAATGAATGAATGAATGAATGAAAAATCCTGAAACAAAGTTTGGTTTTGGAAAAACATTAAACAGCTATATTGATTTCAATGCGAATAATAATCAACATGAAAAATCAATCAATCAATCAATCAATCAATCAATCAATCAATCAATGCAATTATATATATATATATATATATATATATATATATATATAAATTATTATAGAGCATGTGTTTAAGTCAGACAGTTAAGAGCTCCATGACAGACTGCGGACAGCTTATAGGCCAACATTTCTGAAACTGGACGGAGAGGTGAATAACCTGTGAACGGACCCTGAGCTCTACCATGTGTCACTGTCTGATCTCTGCTAAGCCCCTAAAGTCCCATCTGCTCTTCCAGAATGTACTCCTCCGAAAAAACAGATAACACACCACCAGCATCCCCGGTGCCCAGCTCACTTTCTTTCCAACTTTCAGTTCCATTCAGGTGCCAATTCGCTGGGGAAAACGGCAAGCACGCCTGTTTTTCCACAGCCAAAGAGTGGCATAAATCACTATCCCGCCTCATGAGGGCGCTGTGTGTTTTCTGCCGAAGTGTCCATCAGGCTAAATTAAGCACGGTGATGTCCCAGACGAGAGCAAATTTATGCAGAAAGCACTAGCTCCAATTTATGTGCGAGGATTCGATTCTGGAATTACAGGTCTGCGACACATGAAACAACCTTTCCCATCTCTACTGATATCAAACTGGAAAGGCAAAGCTAACAGGTGCATAGCTATGGGTTTTGTGAAAAGCACAATGAGGGGCCGTCAGATGAGGCTCGCTTCTTTTATTGTTTGGATGAGATCCCTCTCCGACTGTCTGTCAGCTTTGCACAATGGGATGACAATACGGCACTGCCTGGTATTCTACTGTCAGCTCTTAGGCTGGCAATTTAATTCAGAATTCAACAGCGGCGCCTTGAAGCCCACAAGAGCGAATGTTACCCGCTCGGCTCCTGTAGGAACGCCACTTGTTGGAGGATCGCTTGAATAATGTGGCTCTTTTTCTATACCAGCACTTTCATCTGTGTAACATTCTCATGTTATTGTTTGCCGTCTCTCGTAGTAGACGAATAATCCCACGGCTCCCTTTGTTCTACAGTGAGAAAGTGGCTTGGGGTCTTCAAACAAGGCAGATTCAGACAGAACTTACAAGAAAATGTAACCATTGTATTTGTGAATTAGTGGGTAATTCATATGATGTTATTTGTATGACTTAGGGTTAACCTTTGAAAAGATCCTGCCCTAAAGATCGGCCTCTAAAGAAAATGCCACAATGAGATTGTATGCGATCTTATATATATATATATACACACACCGGTCACTTTATTAGGTACACCTTACTAGAACCGTGTTGGACCCTATTTTGCCTTTAAACTGCCTTAATTCTTTGAGGCATAAATTCAACAAGGTACTGGAAATATAGATTTTGGTCCACATTGACATGATAGCATCACACAGATGCTACGAAATCATCGACTACACATCCATGATGCAAATATCTCAATCCACCACATCCCAAAGGTGCTCAGTGGATTAAATCTGGTGACTGTGGAGGCCATTTGAGTACAGTGAGCTCATTGTCATGTTCAAGAAACCAGTCTGAGATGTTGCTTTATGACATGGCACATTATCCTGCTGGAAGTAGCCATCTGAAGATGGGTACACTGTGGTCATAAAGGGATGAACATGGCCAGCAACAATACTTAGGTAGGCTGTGGTGTTGACACGATGCTCAATTGGTATTAATAAGCCTAATTTAATCAACTTGGAAAATTGCATTTTGTACAAAATGCTAATAAGTTACACTTGTGTTGTTCATGGTCAAAAATAATCTATTTCTTATTGTGCTATATTATCAGGAATTTCAGACTGAATCTTTTTGTTAACTTGTTTCAAAAAAGCTTAAACAATATGTATTTGACCAAACTAAAAAGGCCAAAAAGTAAAACAAAACAAAACAAACAAACAAACAAACAAACAAACAAACAAACAAACAACCTGTTAAATTCAAAATCTAGTTATAATATTGCAAAACAAGCAATTTTACAAGGTTTGCTATTTTTGACAGCGAGCACAACAAGTGCCCTATAGGGTTTCAACATAACACAAGGGTTAAAAAAGCATCAGACTAAGCCAAACAATTTAAAAAAACCACTGTAAGCCAAGAAGATGCTAATAATACCTTCAATTGTACACCTAATGAATTAAAAGCACCTGAACAAGGGTGTAGAGGGAACTGCTGCTGTGTTCATCCACAAATTTGCACTTCAGGCCAGAGCCAGAACCCTGAACGGTGGAGGAAAATCTCTGAAGTGAAACCTGAGAATTCATTCAAGACAAAGCTGACGCCGCTGTCTTCCTGTCGAGGTTGTAGAAGTGGAGAAAACGCCTCTTATTACCCTGCTTCATCATCATTTGTGACAGATTGCATAGATAACCTCATTTAAAAGACTTGCCGCCCTCCAGCTCTCGTTGGCATAAACTGACTGATATCCATCCCGCATAATACCCTGTTACTGTTACTGTCTGTCATTAAAGCTGACAAAAAACAGCCTATACATTAGCTGAAGAGCCTTGAAAACCACCGTCAATGACCTCAAAAGTGGGTTTGCACTCTTGAAATTATGCAGCGTCATACATAGTGATTTTTACAGTTATACAATAATGATGACAATAAGGGATGAATGATAACATATAGTTTGCGAAAGGCATCATTCTGTGATGAATAACTACAGTATGAATAAATTAATGTACAACAATAGCACGTCTGAGATACAGTTTTTAACTGACTTCAAATTCCATGTTTGTCATTAAATGTGGTTTCATCAGAATGAGGAAGAAATTTAAGAAATGTATCTACTTTAGCTGATTTTCATTCATTCATTTTCTTTTCGGATTAGTCCCTTTATTAATTTAGGGTCACCACAGCGAAATGTATCCAGCATATGTTTTTAAGCATCGGATGCCCAGCTGCAACCCATCTCTGGGAATCACCCATACATTCTAATTCAAACACACACACTACGGACAATTTAGCTTAACCAATTCACCTGTACCACATGTCTTTGTACTCCATACAGCAATGCTAACTGACCCAGCCGAGGCTCAAACCAGTGATCTTCTTGCTGTGAGGTGGGAGCGCTACCCACTGTGACACTGCGTCACCTTAGCTGATTTTATTTGATTTAATTTTTTTTACATTACAACATTTGGGATTTCTATATTGTCACAAAGCTTAAGCAGGTGGAATGAACTCTAAAATGATGGCTGACATGTCAAAAAACAATTTATTTAATAATCAAACTGTGAGTGTTGTGAAATAAAATGTTAAGATATATATAAATATATATATATATATATATATATATATATATATATATATATATATATATATATATACATATATATATTAGAATTTAATTATGGATTTTGATCCTGTTTACAATGAAAGAAATTTACTGACAGGCTTTTACACCAAATTCACTTCATAACATCAGTGGAGTGTTGGAAAGATATAGGGCCCTATCATATATACAGTACTCCCGGCACAATAAGGCGCAAGACGTGTATAGCATGATTTGTTGCTATTTTCAGACCAGTGCAACCCTAATTTTCCTGTTTTGTGCCACTTTGTTTAAATAGTAAATCCATTTGTGCTACTTTGTGGACTCATGGGTGTTTCGGTCTAAAAAAATAGGAGCATTGCTATTTTGAGGATCTAAACTAGACTGCGCAAAAGTCCAGCACAGAGCACGTTAGTTATGCGACTCACTTACACACTATTTAATACACACAGGATGAGCAGCAATATACAAATATCTTTATAAATGAAAAAAAAATTAAGGATTAAAATATTACATTTTTAAAAAATTTTCGACATAAATATAAAAACCACTGCCTCCATGCCTTCTTCATGTCGGGGGGCTTTTTTCAGTTTAATCATGTCAACTTAGTTTTGTATAATGTTAT